CAAGGCGCAGATCCCCTGTGTCGGAATCTCATTCGGTGTCGACCGTATCTTCTCCATCACCAAGGCCCGCATCGAGCGCGAGCAGAAGTCTGATGCCCTTCGCAACAGCGAGGTTGACGCCTACGTCATGGCCTTCGGTGGTAAGGGCTTCAATGGCATGTTGAAGGAGCGCATGGAAATCTGCCAGAAGCTGTGGAGCGCTGGAATCAAGGTAAGCTTTTCCATTTCCGTCGATTACTGCTCTATTTGAATAAACACTAACATCCATGTCTTCAGGCTGAGTTCTCCTACAAGCTGAAGCCCAAGCTCCCCCAGCAATTCAAGGCCGCCGAACAAGGCGCCATCCCCTTCGGTATCATCCTCGGCGAGGAAGAGCTCGCCTCTGGCAAGTGCCGTATCAAGGAGATGGGTCTGCCCGACGGACACCCCGAGAAGGAGGGTGTGGAGGTTGAAATTACCTCCCTGGTTCCCGAGCTGCAAATCCGTCTTGCTAAGAAGCAGCAGGGTGCTGTCTTCTCTCTGGCTCAGCAGTTGCAAGGAACCAGCGTTTAAGCGATTAAACAATCGTGGCCTGCATTTTTCATTGAGTTTTCTTTTAGAGCGTGTTTTTCAGAGGGTTTCTATACCATAAAATTATGTAGATCTCTTGCATCGTCGGGCTTGGAGCCCGATGGCCTATCAAAAGGACTGGGAGGTTATTGTTGAGAGAAGAGAACGAAGGATATTTTAAGATTATGTAGGGTTGATTGATGTCTTCAGTGGAAGTACCAAAATACCCAATTCATTGCATTTCCCCTATGCTTTGGTTTGATACAAGTTTTATAATATGGCAACACGGCATATACCATCATGACTCTGTCAAGAAGATTGAAGCTGTCTTTTCAAAGGCAAAGATAAAACTTAGTATAGAAAAAGGCTTGCATATATAAAAGACTAGAAGTACAATACACAGAAGAAAAGCCATACATATACACACCCTCAACAACATCGAAAATTTAATATCCCTCCGCATTCTTCATCAAGAGCGATTTAACAAAAGGCAACCGATCAATGACGCCTAGTCCAAGACTACGCGCCCAAGCAACAGGCCCTTCACCCGGAACATTATACACTTTATGCAGGAGATCGCAAGCACCCCCGATCTTCGCATTGGGCAAGTACCGCTCAGACGAGTATCGCTCGAGAGTAAGCAAGTCACCGATATCCATGCCATGCGAGACAGCGTACTGAATAGTCTTGGATAGCGAAGCAACATCCGCCAGGCCGAGATTAAGGCCCTGTCCAGCGAGCGGGTGAATAACGTGCGCGGCGTCGCCGACGAGCGCAACGCGCGGCGAGACGTACTGCGCCGCGTGACGGAAGCGCAGTGGGAAGGAAGCAACTGTTCCTGTTTGCACGCCTGTTGCTGGGGGAGGGATTTGGGAGGGGAGGGGTGTGTGCTGGGCGCGCCAGGTGAGTTCGTCTTGATGGGATGAGGTGGAATCCGAGGAAGAGGAGGATTGCATGCCCATCATGTAGGTTAGGTCTGTCATGTCGAGACGGAATGCGGCGTTGACCATGGCGAGGAAGGCCGGGGTTGGGAGGGACTTTAGGTGGGCGGCGTTCTCGGGGGTTGTTGACCAGACGAGGGTTGCGTGGTTGTTTGGTAGGGGGAGGAGGGCGATGGGCCCGCCGAGAGCGGGGAGGAAGCGCTGGTATGCTGTGCGCTTTGAGGCCGGGAAGGGCTGGGATGCTGGCTCTGCGAGAGCGAGGGTTGCGACGATGCCGTGGCGGCCGTAGTCCCAGCCATGGGTGGGGATGTCTGCGAAGGAGCGGACGGGACTGTTGATACCGTCTGCGCCGACGAGGAGGCGGGCGGCGATGCGCTTGGGTGTCTCTGTTTCCGCGGCTGGGCCTGTGGGCTTGACAGTGAGGACTGGCCAGGCTGAGAGGTCGGGACCTTCGGGTTTGAGGTCTGAGCCGTTCTCGATGGAGGCTACTGTGGAGTTTGAGAAGAGGGAGAGATTCTCGTCGCCTGAATCGGCGATTCGGCGTAGCAGGGCGCGCACCAGGTTCGCGTTCTCGGTCATTGTTGCTACAGTGCGCATGTCTTCGAATGGGGATGTCTCCATTGACCAATCGAATGATATTCGGGACCCGGTTTGGCCGTCCCAGACCTGCATGTCCTGGTACTCTTGCACGCGATTGACATCGAGGCGATCGTAGGCGCCAATGCTACGCAGGAACGACACGGTCGAGGGCGTCAAGCTGCTGACCCTGTTGGAGAACTGGTTCGGTTCGAGGTCCCAGGCTTTGGCTTTGCGGAGATCTTGGCTCTCAATGAGGGCAACTTTGAGCTTTGAGGTGATAGGCGATGCTCCTGCAGTGACATTGTATCAGTATATGCCCTGCTTATCTGGATTATGTTGCTATACATACGAAGTGCAGCCAATAGTCCTAGGCCCGCGGGGCCGCCTCCAACACAAACCACATCGTAGAGGTCAGGGGAATCCGATTTAGACCCAAACCGCCGCCGACCGGCGGCAATGCCATTCCGGCAGGTTGGGCAAACATACGGCCGAAGGACAGCTCTGGAGATTGGACGCATTGTGTTTGGTGATTGGAGGTTGAATCGGATGATCGAAGATAGACGTGCAGTGCAAACAGTACAAACAATATTAACCGTGCATACAGCTCCGGGGTTATGTCAACACTCTTTTCTTTTTTTTAACGGCTCTTGGTATTTCTACATGGAACATCATTTGATCACTATTGTTACTTATTTGACTCGCCTGAGTGGTTGCATATCTGAATAAATGAAAAGTTATGATGGTATTGCGGGTATGAAACACGGAATAGCTACCGAAAGCAACAGACATGAACTGCTATATCAGACTCGGTCCGAATAATGACTCAATCACGCTCAGACCGAAATAGCTAAATGGAGCCGATAGCAGCCGCGTCAGAGTCGTGTCCGGGCTCAGCTTCGCCCTCCATCTCTGCTACAAACCGCTCCCATGTAGAGAGCACGCCCTGGTAGAACTCAATGTGCGAATCGGCAAAGGAGCCGAGTCCATCTCGGAACTCGACCGCCTTGATACGTTCGAAATCTGCGACTTCGCGGATGACCTCCTCGTCGAACATCTCGGATGTAGTCTTGGCGGACTCGACCTCGCGGGTCAATTCGTCAATACGGAGCTCAAGCTTTCGCACACGCTCGCGGCGGGACTGTTCGTGGTCGACGCCGCGCATGTCTTCCATTTTGGAGCGGATGAAAGATGCTGGGGAGGAGGTGAGCGGGTTTGAGGCGTAGTAAGCAGCTGGGTTGGCAGCCAGAGAGTCACGCTCGGTCACGGCTTTATTGCGGTAATCGACCAAGGCCTCGAAATCGAGCTGTTTCTGTTCGCGTGTCTTCAGCAGGGACTTGAGGGACATGATATACGACCCGGCATCGCGCAGCGAGCCCAAATAGTTCTGGTCGGTGTGGTCCTTCAGCCCGCGCATCCCGCGCGCAGTCTCTTCCACTGAAGCTGCAAAGACCTGTAGTGGCATCTCAACAGCAGGCTCTAACGGTACGAGTTTGCGGAACTGTGTCGCCAGCTCGGCATAGTCCGTCTCCAGATCGGATTCACGCCGCGCAACTCGTGCCACGGTCTTCTCCACATGTGATAGGTCTTCGTCCAGCTTATCGGCCTTCTCTCGCACCTCGATAAACCGCCGGTCCGGTTTGTGCACTTTAGAGAAGGCGTTGACAAAGGAATCAGTAAAGTTATCAAAGATACCAGTAGCCGCACCATCCGACCCGGTATTTGTTGACACTCGTGTTGAGTGCAGGCGCATATGCGCATTCCAGTCCGGTGATTCCAAGAAGATAGTGAGAAGAGGCGCCCGCCGAAGCACAGGGTGAAGCGTCAAACGTTTCAAAAATCTATGGAGCGACCAAGCTCGTCGCGTTGTAAACTCCGGCCCGAACCGGTCTCCCCGCACGTACTCCATCTTGTGCTTGTCCGGGAGCGGCGGCACCGCGCATGCTGGGTATTCGCGATAGAGCGTCTTGTATAGGAAGTAGAAGTCGGTGTAACGCCGCCGAACAGTAAATTCGGGCTTCTGGAATGATTTGAAGTCGGTCTAAATATGTCAGTCATGGTCCATTTGAGAGATACAGATATCGAGAGGTCTAGGCAGCAGTTGCACCTCCACTTCTCGACAGTATATGCAAAGACGAAAGCATACATGTGTGGTAACCAGGTACGAGATATATGCATCTTTTGTCCCGTCATTTTCTTTGAGTGGCGAGTCAACTTGGCACTCAAGAACGCCATCGCCGATGCCCGCCAGGTCGACGGCGTCAGCTAGCGGGCCGGCCTGGGGCTCTTCTTGGGCGGAGCTCATTCTCCGCTTGCCATTGGAGTCGTGGTGAGTTTCACTGGGTTCTGCAGCATCTGTGCTTGCAGTTGTCGGCCGTGAGACATCGCTGTCTGGGTCGTGCTTCCAAGAAACACTGTCAAAGTCGTCATGTTCATCCATCGTGGGGGGTTGTCGGTCGGCCGTGGTCAGCCGGCTGATAGTTGTTGGAACCCCAGTAATGTCGAGAAATTAATATTTGCAGGAAATGTTTGATCTAGGAGTGATAGGGACTGAAAAGGTCAAAGAGGTGGAATGGAGGGGGAAGTTTGGAGGTTGGAGCTGAGTTCAATGATCGCCGTTCCCCAAGGCGGAGTTCCCGAAGCGGAACGTCATCATCGCTTTATTATTAGGATCAGCATTACAATCTCTGGTAAATATTTGATTGTCTTTATTATTCTAGTGATTCCTTGAGAATTGCTTCACATCTGGTATAATTATCTTTGTAGTATGCACATCATGCTTTTAGATTCCTGTCAAATGGGAGATATACAGACAGGCCCTAGTATCCCCACCCCGTCTATTCCTAGTGAACGATGCTCTCCAATTTCAATAACCAAGTCAATATAGCATATCGACAACACCGAACAAGATGCAAAATGACTATCGACAATAGATTAAGGTTTTTCCTGATGGGGGTCACCATGTGAGGTTCCATCTTCACCATCCTTTTCCTGGGTATTGGCCAACCCATCACGATACGGTTCATCATCATCATCACTGAACATTTCCTCGTCACTCTCTCCAGCAAATGCATTATACAGTTCACCGCCACGACGCTGTGTTCGACCAGATGCTCCAGTCATCGGTTGCATCTCATCCTCATCCTCAATCATTTCAAACTCGTAGTCGTCGTGAGCAGTGGTGCGACGACGCTTGATTCTCTGCAGCTGGAAGTAGACACCCAATCCAATGAAGAAGGTAATGATCATGACCAATGATGCATAAATCCAAACTTGAGTACGCTTCGAAGCACCAAAAGTAGGAAGCCAAGAGGATATATAGCCTGCTCCGGCGGAGGAAGGGGAGGGGGTTTCAGCTTCACCAATGGTAGTGTTGGTGGGCTTCTTCTCATCTTCAACTGGCGTGGGATTTGTGGCCGTTGGCTTTGGCTTCGCGTTCACAGGCCGATCATGATGGTCATCTGGGTTGGCAGGGGCTCCGGTCTTTGTTGGGGCCGACGTAATGCTAGTCGTGGCTACAGGAGCATCCTCGTAAGGATGGTCGTCGTCATGCTCATCGGGCAAGGGGTGAAGCTTTTGTTTAGCTCCGTCGGCGGCCTCACCCCACAGATTGAGTCGCCAATCAATGAATGTGCCGGAGAATTCATTGACTTCGGAGTCTTTCACGATGATAGACCACTCGCCAATAGGAGATTCACCCCTAAGAATAAATTAGCAAATTCGTATATCATGGAATTGCAAGGGCAACACATACCAATGAGCAACAGACATGAAAGTCCAATCCTCATACCCAACCGGCATGTCATCCTTTCTGCGGGCAACACTCAGGTAGCTGACGATTCCAGTAGGGCTGCGCAGCTCAACGCTGATATCACCGCGGCGGGTGTGGTTGACATTCATAGTCACAGTGACATGTTCCAATTTGGCGACGTTGGCCTCCTTCAATTGATCAGCAGTTACTGTATAACGACTGAGCAGACCCCGATCACCCTGGGGAATGTCTTGATGCACTCGCAGCCATGGCGAGTGGAACCACGCTTGAGGCTTCACGAGATCCCAAGTCTTAGCAAGCTGGACCATGGTATATGTATCGACCTTTCCGAAACCCCAGTCATGGCTGAACTTGCGGCCAGAGGGCAGGGTCTGCCAGCTACCGTCGTTCTCGCTCACGGGGACCGCCGTCTCCACCATCAAGTATTGTAAATCACGCCAGGTCAGCTCCGGGCGTGCGCTGAGCGCGAGAGCCACGCTGCCTGCGGCCAGCGGACCTGCCGCAGAGGTGCCACCATGTGCAGCGAAGCACTTGTTAGCACCCACGTCGGTAGTGTGAATATAATCACCGGAGCCGCTACTGTATGCGACCACAAGTTGGGCCGAGCATGACTCGGAGTAAGTCGGGTGATTCCCTTCCCGGTCAATGGCACCGACTGTAATACTGTAGATACTGTTGGTATACCCATCGAAGTTGCAGTTATCCCCAGAGGCCGCACCGTTACCGGCGGCAAAGACATAGACAGAGCCTCTACCCGCTCTACCCTTTTGGATACCGTTGGCCATGGCTCGCTTGATCAAGATTCCAGGCGCATCCATAGTAGCACCATCGTCGATGGGGCCCCATGAACATGAATAAATGTCATTCATTTGGTAGGCGTAGTTGATAGCTGCCGCTTCATCGACATCGTCGATAGGCTTGGACAAGATGCGGATGCCGGCTATCTTGCTATCGTACGCAACACCAACTCCACAAACATCGTTCTTTGCCGCCGCGATCTCGCCGCAGCATCGAGTACCATGCTTATCGTCAAGCAGAAGAGGGCGGGGTTCCGGGAGTCCCTCGTTGAAATCCCAGGAGCCCTCTGGGAGGTAGTTGGGCTTGAGATCGTTGCTATCCATGTCCAGCCCATCGTCGACAACTGCAGTGGCGACGCCCTTGCCGGTTATCCCCTCCAACCACAATCCTGTCACATTGAGGTCGTGCCCGGGCTGCAATGTGTTGACAAGGTGCCATTGTTCTCTGAAGATCGGGTCAGTGATCCCTAGAGATGACATGGCATTCTTTTGGAAAGCAACGGCCTGCGCATTTTCCCTCTTGTCCAGCGTCTTGTAGGGTACGGAGACCGGCGGAAGTCGTTTCTGCAATCGTTGTCTTGCTGGAGCAATCTTATGCGACCACAGGATCTTGTCTAGGGGATCATCACTTGTCCCGCGCGAATCGAGTCCACCGTCGGAGCGCCGCCGGAGCTTTCGCCTGGTCTTTAAATCATTCAACAAGGTGTCAAACTGAGCCGTCTGTTCCCGCGGTAACGAGAAAGTGTGGTGGCCATCCAGTTGGCCAATCTGGCCCTCGTGGCGTGCGCCTAGGACCTGTGCGATGTGGGAGGGAGAGGTGGTATCGTCAAGGTGGAGGGCGAAGAAGTCGCGGGTTTCTTGAGAGCGAGGGTGTAGGTTTGCGGACACCGCACCAGCAAGGCCTAGGGTGGCGGTGATGCCACTGACAATGCGCATGACGAGAAATCAATTTCAATTGTTTTCGGTCGAGGAAAGGGGTCAAGGGAGGGTTATGAGGTTCGAGGTATCTAGCAGGCGGTTGCCATCGACAGTTCCGGACTGTTGAATAGCAGCTCGATGAGTTGTGGTGAGGTGTGTAGGTGAACAAAAAGAAAATAAGCTCCAATAAGACGCTACTTCCAAGGTTTCAATAATACATGTAGTTGTTAAGAGGAGGTTGTAACAATGCAAGTTACAAGGTTCCAGGCAAAATAGGAGGATCGTCAGAGGCCACACGGGGTCCTATTGAGTCTCCTAAGAGGGCTATTGAGCTCGACTTAGTTTATTTGGACACTAGAAGCCTCTTTCTTTATTAATTATCAAAGAAGTTTTGGAGCGTTCTAAGGCCACGGTTTCTACTTTGTACTCTGTACTCCATACTCCGTACTATATTAACGTACTTGCCTAGGTGTCTAGCCCAGGTGGCTCTAATTTAGCTTACGTAGGTACGGTCTTGGCCCAGCATACGTAGTGACATTTGCTAACGGTTGGCACAAAAGACAAGGAGAATCATTATTGAAATTTGTGACTGGACTGCTTAGTATCTGTTACGGGGAGTAGTTCATCATTATCAACTGCAGGAATCGAATAGTTCAAGTCCTTGCATATGAAGACCTCTAAGTTTTCCCTTTTCACTTTAAATCTCTTGCCACTTTATGCTGGGTAGAATTGAGCACGCCTTGTTACATAATAGCCCGACCCTGTACTGAAATTTACTCGAGTGTACTTAAAAGCGGCACCCGAAAGAGGATAGCCAAACAACAGAACATCAAGCTACTTGTGTATATCCATGTTACTTACGTGCAATAATCATGTTTATAGGTAATTGTGAAACATTCATAGATCCCCAGTATTCAGGTTCTATATATGTCCGTACTACGGAGTACGTAGGTATGTAGAGGTGATTCTAACAATAGCTCATTCCAATACCCGTACCATGTCTAAGAATTATGCTTAATTCTATATATTATTTCTATACTTCTATATTTCGCTTTTTGATATTTGATATTTATCCTAACGTCTTATAATGCATAAGTATTGCTTTTCCAGGGATCAAAGCCCTTGATTAAGCCTTCGTATGACAATGGCCCCGCGCGAAGGCTGGGGATAACCAGCCACCGGGATATCGGATGTATAGACCTTGCCTTCTTTTTTTTGCCTTGGACTTGATTGAAATCTTTCTCTTCTTTTCATCTCGTCTTCTACCATTCCATTGACACCCCTATCCTAGTGTTTACCTGTTCGCCTTTTATACAGGCCAACTTCCCTGTCACCGCCGCGTGGACCTATACCCCCGCCCAACTTGGCTTGTTGCCTGTCAATCAGCTCCGGCCATGGTGTAGCGACCCTGCGTTAGGCATCAGATCCAGTCGCATTGAACCTGTTTCATCTATTTCGAGAAAAATCAAGTACGGCATTTTCCCCTAAATCTGCTCGAGTTGCCTTTGGGACCGATATTAACGATATTGGTTCCAGTTGGGTTCGCAATTGCACATACTTGGCGCCTATCCTCGCATTTTTTTCGATTATTTCCTTGAGTTTGGGCGCAAATACACAACATTATGGCTGCTACGGCAATTCGTGGATCGCCCGATATGGCAAACGGCAGCTCCAACCCCCAAATTTCGAACGGAGCGCAAAGAGCTCCAGGAAGGCGCAATCGCAAAAAGGCTCCTTCCACGGAAAGCCATGAACACGAGGTGGAATATGATGACGCGCAGCCAGCTCATACTAGCGGAAAAGATGCCCATCCGTCAGGGCAGGTAGACAGGTCTTTCTCGGCCAGAGCCCGAAATCAGCCCGAGGGAAACCTGAACTATACAACCCGCAAGCCAATTCCTCCATCAACCTCAGAATTATCAGCGGAATCAACCACACCGCGAGGTCTTCCCACAGAGCCCTATTCCCCAGAACCTAGTGCAGATATGCCTGAGATTCATGTCCAGTCACCACCGCCTGCACCGGGTGTGTCTTCGCCCCCGACTCGGTCCAACACCACACGCTCCGTCTCCGCCAGTGACTCGCGGCGAGATTGGGCATCGGAGCGATCGCCCCTTCAAAAGTTGGAAGTAACTTTGACTGGAATTAGCAAGGAAGAGAAGCGGGCACGAGTACAACAGGCGGAAATCAAAGCCCGAGAGCGACTTGCACGCAAGAAAGCTGAACAAGAGAAAGCCGAATTGGTGGCAGCAGTGGCTCACGAAGCATCAGCACAACGTGCGCAGCCAGAAAGCCAACCACCACCCAGCGCAGCCAGAAGGAATGAGCGGAGAGATATTCCAATTGGGGATGGCAGGCGAAATGGAAATACGGCAGCACCACCACAAGAGCGACAAGCAGAAAGCACAGCTGTCCGTCGAAACAGGACCGTTTCAACAAATCCTCAATATCCATCTATCCGCCAACCCGAGGACCCTCAATATACACGTGCAGAAGCCGTCATCCCATCATCAGCTAAGATAGGCAATGTGCCTAGACGATCAGTCACAGTGAGCGGACCTGCCGCGAAACCCGCACCTGCCAACAATATCGGCCACAGTCGCTCGATGTCTCAAGCAGGTCCTCGACCTGTGCAGGCTGCTGGTGCCCTAAGAGCGGAGACAACAGACGAACTTTTAACAGCACCCCGTGCGCCTCAGGATAGTGTCGAATCGCAGACCAAGCCCAAGAAACAGTCTGTCTCTTTCAATGTTCCACCGCCTACGCCCCCTCCGATCTTTGAGTGGAGGAACGCACAGCCTGCTCGGCTTGCGGCCCCTGATTTCGACTTCCAGAATTTTGATATGGAGCGCAGCAAAGCGTGGTGGGAAGGTGGTGGTAACAAAGATCGCAGAAAGAGCAGGGCCCTTCCTAAAAACTACAAGTCTCCTGCTCAGAAGTTGACAGGTAAGATCCTCCGCTATCCTGGTTTTCAAGCTATATTTCTTGTTATATAATTACCGAAATGCATTTACTAACGCCCACTAGGAATGACTGACCACAAGAACTTCCAACCCAACCTCTTCTTGCGATGTGGACCTTTACTGCGATACACAGGTATCAAACGAGTTAAGGTTGATGGAGCCAGCGGCCCCATTGACAAAGATATATGGCGAGGGTCTATCATGATAGTGACTAAAGATTCTCGCTCCTCCTACGACACTCCACCTACACTGAGACTATTCTCTCAACCGATGGATCTTCTTCCTCCTCCACCCGTGGAGATCAGCCATGAAGATGGAATGCAACTGGCTCCCGAATATGTCGACCCAACAGCCGGGCTCATGAAAGTTGGCCGTGATGGGCGGCCCCTTTACGTGAAGCCAGTTGAACATGTCGAGGAGCAAGTCGACCTATCGTTTGTCGAGAACGACGATGGTATCTACGAGCTCTCACCTAGCATGATCGACTATACCAGCGAAGGCGTCAAACAGCCTATGCCTTCCAACCGAATGCATGCCGTCGACGGTGAGACAGCGAGTTTGCACCGAGACATCCCAGGAGCCCGCCTGTACGCGGATGCCGCAAGAGATGTAACATTCTGGCGATTCAACCTAGAGGTTGAACTCAGCACAACGCAACAGCGAATCGCCTATCGGATCAACCAGGGACCCGCCTTGGGATTCTGGGTCCCTCCGGCTGGAGAATCCATGAACATAATGTTCCACAGTGGTAACGGGTTCAGCCCCTCTGCGGACTCTGATAAAGTCTGTGGGCCCGACCCGCTTTGGCGAGATATTCTTAATGAGCATCAGACTCGTCCGTTCCATGTGATGATCGGTGGAGGCGATCAAATCTTCAACGACTCGGGTATCACAGAGTCGGCGTTCTTCCAAGAATGGATTAAGATTAAAAACGCTGCCGAGAGATATGGGGCGTCATTCACACCCGAATTCCGGGCTGAGTTGGAGCAGTTCTACCTCGAGCGCTATGCTGCATGGTTCTCCCAGGGCCTCTTCTCGCTGGCGAACTCTCAGATTCCCATGGTCAACATGTGGAACGATCATGAAATCTTTGAAGGCTTTGGTTCTTACCATGATGATTTCATGCAAACCGCTGTTATCTCTGGAATTGGAAAAATTGCTTTCAAGTATTACCTGCTGTTCCAGCACCACAGTGTCCCCGATGAAACCGAGACAGATGAACCCAGCTGGCTTCTTGGTGCTCATCCTGGTCCATATATTGAGCAGAAGAGCCGAAACCTGTTCATGTCTCTTGGCCAAGGGGTTTCATTCTTGGGTCTTGACTGCCGCACTGAACGACGGGTATGATTACTCCAATTTTCCGACTTGTGGACTATGCTGACATGTTCTTGCAGAGCAATGAGGTTCTCAGCGAGGAGACCTGTGATTTATTGTGGGACCGCTGCCACAAGGAGATCATGAAGGGAGAAACAAAGCATTTGATCGTTCTTTCAAGTGTCCCTGTTGCTTACCCCCGAGTGGTATGTGATCTGATTGCTTCCGTCTTTGATCAAACCTAAAACTAACGTTGACTCCAGGCAATGCTCCGTAATTTCATGAACAGCCGCAAGTCCCTCGGCAAGGCTGGAGTACTTGGTGGGTTTGTAAATCGATCTGGCGGAAACGTGGAGGTCTTTGATGACCACTGGGCCGGCAAGCACCTCAAGTCGGAGCGTACATGGTTGGTTGAGGATCTTCAGGATCTGGCCGCAGAGAAGTCGGTCCGGATCACAATACTCAGGTAAGACCAGGCAATTTGCTCAACGGCAACCCAGATTCCAAACGATGAAACTAACTTAATCTTTCAGTGGTGATGTCCATCTCGCTGCAATTGGGCAGTTCTATTCGAACCCCAAATTGGGTATTGCCAAAGATCAGGATTATCGATACATGCCGAATGTCATCTCGTCTGCTATTGCAGACATTCCGGAGACCGATCTCATTGCGGACATGCTCAACAAGCGGAATACAGTCCACCATATGGACTCCAACACAGACGAGGATGTCGTCCCCATCTTTGTTCAAGATGTGAATGGCAAGGCCCGAAACAACAGACGATTACTACCTCGGCGAAACTGGTGTTCGATCCGTGGGTATAAGCCTGGCTCCACTCCACTTGATACACCCGAGTCGGAGATAATAGAGACCCCACCACCTCGGCCAAATAAGCTGCAGCGAACATTGTCGCTGGGTCGTGGAGACAAGGGGTCTACCGAGAAGCCTGGTATTCTCAGGCGCCTTTCCACCCGTGGACCACCTCCTACAAGGACCATGAGTTTCAATCGAGGCGACGAGGCTGCTTTCAATCGACGTGCAAGTGTTGATGGGCCCGCTCAGCCCCACGAGAACGGGGACAGCTATTTCCCAGGGGCCGGGGCACCTCCACGACCCGGTAACTTCCACCGGCGACCAACGAATCTCAGCCAAAAAGCGGCAAAGAAAGCCGCTGAGCAGGGCGATGACGGCGCAGGCGCCTACATCAACCTCGAAGGCGGGCTCGCCATCACGTTGAACCTAGAGATCAGCCCACAAGACCCATCGGGTGTCACCACACCCTACAAACTGCTCGTTCCGGCACTGCACTACAATGGAACCGAGTATGACCCGCCCCCAGCGCAGATTGTCAAGGGCTGGAGAAAGTTCCTACCCCGCCGCAAAAAGAACGACGGGGAAGCAGATGCACACCCTGAAGCAGAAGAAGATTACAGCGATGACGACGAACAAGACGATTACGAGGACCACGACCTTATCAATAATACCCGCGCAAACGCCGCCACTAGTCAACAACATCAACCACAGTACGAGGGATATCCTGGGAGTGAAGAGGAGGATGGAGATTCGGAGGACGAGGCCCCTCAACGTCTACCAAAGCATATGATGGCTGAACACTCCTCCAGTCCTGAGGAGCATAGCCGTCCACGGAAGAAGTGGTTCGGCGTAATCTAATGTACTATATTGACATCATTGTGTCATTGAAGTTGGCTGTGATATTTGCTTTTTGCGATTTGATGATTTGTATGGATTTTTATGACTTGAGTATGATAGTGTTTTGTGTTTGATATATGATTCCCCTAAATCCAGCGAGGTTCAAACTGACATGTGAAGTTCATCCTATCAAGATCTCTCAAGTAAATCCGAAGTATACAAACAAGAATAGTCGGCCCCCTATGCGGCTTCGTGATGTCTTTTTGGTAGTCTTTTTAGATGTCTTTTTGGTATATAGTTTCTTCCTCATTGGTGTTGTAGCTAGAGTATAGGCGGCAAAAAACGGCTTAAAATGTGCAACACGACTGTTCTATGTATAACTTTTGATATGTATAACTTCCGAAGTATACAAAATCGGGCCGGAAGAGGCGCCTCGGGGTGATCTGATGAGATTACATCAGCGGTCTCGACCTTTCACGTGACATGTGCTTAGAAAGCCCCGGAGCCTCGATGCTCAACCTGATTCAGCCCATTTGAATTGCCTTGAAATTGCTTGAAATCGCCATAAATTGCCTAGTTTAAACAAATTATCTCTAATCTCGTGTGGTCTGGAAACCCCCGAAAGACAAAGAATCCAATCGCATCCTGTCTGAGGGTCCAGTCTCTCTGATCTCATTGCCGGTTTATCAATCAACTTCATCACCTAATAATCCCGGTCTCCACTGCCCCTCCGAAAAAAGATATTATATCTTCCCCCTCTCCCTATTCTCTTCCCCTCCACTTCCCAGAAATACCTTCAAGCTGTTTTCCTCCGCCTTTCGTCGTTTTCCCTCCCTTCGATCCATTGGATTGACTGCCGCCGCGGCCACTACCGTTCACCAACAATCTCCTCCTCCGGCCTCGGTCTTCTCTAAATCGTTTCCGACGCCGTTGCGCGCCAATTCACACACCGCCAGAATGGTGCACTCTAAAGTAGTCGGTAAGTGATTTGTGTGATGGGATTGAAGATTCGGATCACCCAATTTCCTCCGATATCAGAGTTCTAACCGCTTTCCCCCCACAGTTATCGGCTCCGGCCCTGGTGCCCACACTGCCGCTATCTATCTCTCGCGCGCAGAGCTCCAGCCAGTCCTCTATGAGGGCATGCTCGCCAACGGCACCGCCGCCGGTGGTCAGCTCACAACCACCACTGATGTCGAGAACTTCCCCGGATTCCCCAACGGCATCGGCGGCGCCGAGCTGATGGACAACATGCGCGCACAGTCCGAGCGCTTCGGTACGGAAATCATCACCGAGACCATCTCCAAGCTTGACCTCTCCTCCCGGCCCTTCAAGATGTGGACCGAGTGGAACGACGACGAGGGCAGCGAGCCCGTCCGCACCGCCGACGCCGTCATCATTGCCACAGGCGCCAACGCCCGCCGTCTGAACCTCCCCGGCGAGGAGACCTTCTGGCAAAACGGAATCAGTGCCTGTGCCGTCTGCGACGGCGCCGTTCCCATCTTCCGTAACAAGCCCCTCTACGTCATTGGCGGTGGTGACTCCGCCGCCGAGGAGGCCATGTTCCTCGCCAAGTACGGCAGCAGTGTGACTGTTCTCGTTCGCAAGGATAAGCTCCGTGCCTCTAATATCATGGCTGACCGTCTCCTTGCCCACCCCAAGTGCAAGGTCCGCTTCAACACCGTCGCCACTGAGGTTATCGGTGAGACCAAGCCTAACGGCCTCATGACCCACCTCCGTATCAAGGACGTTGTCTCTAACAAGGAAGAGGTCGTTGATGCCAACGGTCTCTTCTACGCTGTTGGTCACGACCCCGCCAACGCTCTCGTTAAGGGCCAGGTTGAGCTCGATGACGAAGGTTACATCGTCACCAAGCCCGGCACCAGCTTCACTAACATCGAGGGCGTCTTCGCCTGCGGTGATGTTCAGGATAAACGGTACCGCCAGGCTATCACCAGTGCCGGTATGTTCATACTCCAGTATTTCCATTATAGTAACTGCATTTTGCTAACAATATTCTATCAGGATCTGGTTGTGTCGCCGCCCTCGAGGCCGAGAAATTCCTCTCCGAGACCGAGACTCACGAGGAGGCAAAGCCTGTGCTCTAAATACATATACACCTCTTCTCCCACTTTCCTCTCCTATTTCTCGTTATCATGATGCATGAAAACATGATTTTTGGCCCGTGTATCGAAGATTCTTCTTGCTTCTAGACTTATATCTGTTTTATGCGATATCTCATTTCTAAATTCCCCGGGCATATTTCGATGGGATTTCTTACATCTTTTTTTCCTTTTTCTTGTTCCTGTTCCTTTTACCCATGTCTCATGGAAGGGGAAATCAAGTGGTCTTTGTGGATTTATATCAGCTGGTCTGCTTGGGATGCCTCTACCCATAGAGATAGAAATAGAAGAAAAAGAGAGGCTCCCATATCATTTTCCATATCTTTACAAGGTTCCTTGGAAGGTTCTTATACTTGTCTACATAAGCAAGACCATTTGCATTAAAACTGTCATTCATTGATATCAATAAGGCTGAAACGATACTCATCACAACAAATCTCTCAATAGAGACGAAATTACCTTCTTTCCCTTATTGTCATCCACGCAGATAATCTATCCACCGTAAAACGCCGATAAATGCTCATTTCTCAGACTTCACAGCAGGCACAGCAGTCGTAAACGCAGTAGCAAGCACAGGCACCGACGACGCATTTTCAGCAAGATACTCCGGCATAACCCAATCCTCAAACGGATTCTCCGCACACCACCGATCCTTAACGATAAAAGTCTTCCTTTCCCACTCAGCAACGTCAACCTTCCACTTATCCCAAGCCTCAGCATTAGCACGACGATTAGCCTCCGTCTGCTCGAGGTACGGCTTTTTATCAGCTGGCTTTGCAGAACGCCACATCTGGCCCAGCGCGGCGCGGATCTCATCGCGCGGGGCCTTTGCGTTGGGGTTGTTGGATGCTGCGCGGCGGGCTTCGTCGCATTGGTCGCGGCAGCGCGCCCAGTAGTCTTTTTGGTAGAAGAGGAAGGGGTTTAGGCCTGATTTTGCGGGGCGTGGGGGTGCGGACCCTAGCTCGGCGTAGATTGTTGTCCATAGGGCTTGGTCGTAAGCGTCGCGGCGGGATTTATCGGTTGAGGTTGGTTTGCGGGAGGTCGAGGTTGAGGGCGGCTTGGATTGGGTGATTGTTGGGCTTTCCGTGGAAGAGAGGGATGAGCTGCCTCTTGTTCTTGTTTTCTTGGTGGTTGCACCGTTTGGCGTGGAGGATTTGCTTCGAGTTACTTTTGATTTCTCCGGAACGAGGGGGTGAGACATTATGATGGGTCCGGATATCGGCTCGATTATTTCGGATGCTGCGCGAAGGCCTGACAGGTATGCTCCGTGGACGGTTGCTGGGTGGGTGCCGCAGGTGGCTTCGCCGGCGAAGTGGAGATTGCCGATTGACCGGGCCATCAGGTCATAGTCGTCTGGAAAGGCTTCTGCGGCCACGTAGGAGTAGCTGCCGTATGTGAATGGGTCCTGGCCCCAGCGGGTGATGATAGTCTCCAGAGGATCGGGAACCGTAGTGTGTTTGAAGACGTTTCGAAGTTGGCCAGTGACCTCCGTAATTATTTCTTCGTCTGATGTAGATTCTGCTTGGTGGGCTGCATCACCAGCCATGAGGGCAATCAGGCATGGGAGTCCGGTAGTCTTCATGACATTCCAGAACAGATAGAATCGACCGCGGTTTGCCGCATAGTCTTCTTGGACCATAGAAGCAGGGTTATTCGGCTCACGGAGTAGGCCAAACATATCCCGCTTGGTGTCCCAGAACGGCTGTTCGAACACCAACACGACCTTGTTCATTATTCCAAATCCCAGTCTGTCAATTGCGCCACGCTTCCAGTCCGGAAGAGGAGGCTCGAACTTGATCTTCTGCTGCTTCAGGACTCCTAGGGAACCGGTGAAGACGACATGATCTGCCAGGAACTTTTCTCCATCCTCGCACTGGACAACTGCCTTCTGTTTCTTGTTGGACCCAGTTGTGTCGTAAGAGATATCGGTGACAATCTTGCCGGTGCGGACATCGAGCTTTTCAGGCAGCATGTACAGCCCATAAGGTAATTGCTGGTAGCCACCAATGACCTGGGAATGTTCACCCTCGAACTCGTTTCCGATGTCCTGGTCCCATCCCGATAGGCTGAGTCTGTTCACGTTGGTTGCATTCGCGTACTCGAGGTTGGCGAAATGCCAATTCATCAACCGCATATCCTTCGTTGTCACTGGAAGCATGTTTTGATATTGTATGACACCCTCGTCCATCACTGCACCGAGAGTCTGCGCCTGAGATGCCCTGGCAATCTCGTCCAGTTCAATAGTGTCGTTAACGGTGTATCCTGGGTTAAGCTTCCATCCAGTTGTCTGGCAGGTCAAGGCTGCCGGGTCATCTTCCGAATTTCCCGCTAGATCACTCGCCACATCGACGGATGGCTCATTTTCCGCAGTCTTGTGCTTTATTCCTCGTCGAACTCGCTTTGTGGGAACCAATAAATCTATTGTCCCAGCTGCCCGCGCCTCTTCGTACTGTCGCACAGTGAGTCCGTCATCCACCGCCGATTCGCGGCCAGCATCGATCATCTCGCGGTTTCCCTGGGCGGTTGGCACAATCTTTGCTTTGTGACGGTAGAATCCGGTTCGATCGAGCAAATCATTGTAGAGCTTTTCTGCCATCGCGTCCTGAACCTCATTCACGGGCGATCCATCAATATCGTAAATCGTTGAAACGTCCCGTATCTTGTGATAGTGAAGTGCCAGCTGGCCACGAACTATCTGGTCCAGCGGGTTGCCATGATCGAAGCCGACAATGATCTGAGCACCCATTTCCGCCTTTGGAACAAGCCCATCAGGCAGGCTTTCCGACTTGAGACTGTGCAACGGATGTGAATAAATGCGTCCACCGACTCTTCGACGTCCCTCGAGGACAATGACTCGGGGAAAGGCATTTGAGTCACGATACTGGCGGAAAAGGCTCTCCAATTGACGTGCACACCCTAGACCTGCCATTCCAGCACCGATGACAACAATTGTAGGTCCTTCCTTTCGTCTTCCGCGTTTGGGTTTCACCGAGGCCAATGGAGCCTCCACGCAGCCGTGATTTATGTAGCCATTTCGCGCGAGCCAGTCGTAAGCAAAGGATGCCAGATTCATCCATCGGTAATCTTTGGCACATCCGAGTGCTTCTTCCCTGGTGACAGCCACCATGGGATTTCTCCCCCAGAGTAGCAGTATTCCGTTTCGTATGTTGAGGTAGATTGTGACGTGAACGTGGCAAAGATGATCTTGCAAAAATTCTTGTTCTTGTCGGTGGAGAGCATACGGGTTCAGCCGTGATGCATACGCCGCTCTAACGCACTGCTCGCCGTAAACAGAGGGGTGAATTTTAGATGGGATGGACGATCGAGGTCGACATTTAGACAAATCAACTTTCCCGCTGTCCAGTACACTCGGTCCAAAAACAACTGACCGCGTATAAAGAGACTGTAGCGGATTGGGAGGGGGCGATGTAGATGCCTTTAGCTCAAAGGAAGATGTCAAGTCGGTTGAGGTTGTCGACTCATTCGGGGTACTGCTGCTGCCATCGGCATACAGCCTCTCCATTGAGCCAACAATGTGGGATCCATCAGATAGGAAGGTTTGCGACTTGTGGTAGTTGTGTTCTAGATTTCCCAAAGCAATTGAAGCTGAAGCTGCTTCGTAAGCCTTGTGCGTGATGCGCAGTCGCTTCGCAGGAGGTTCAGATAGAATGTTTTCTTGGCCCTGCACCGTGATCTCGGGGGTTGGGACATATTGATTCCTGTATGAGTCTTCACTCGGGGGCATTCCAGCCGTCTGGAACCTCATGGACGCTGCGCCATACATGTTGATACACGGGTATCTGCAGGCAGTGTCGAGGACCACAGAAAGAGAAAATTCCACGTCAACAAAGACGTGGGTTGTGAACTCGAAGATATGATGTCGACAGTCCTTTCTATCCCGAGAATGTGCGGATATCAATTCAGGCGTTCACCCATGATATGGTCATAGGATATCGATCTGCGGCAAGCCGAAGGAACACTAGGCTGAATGAATGGATCAACTAGGACTTATGTTAGATGAGATGGAACATGGCAAAATCCCAAAAAAGACACCAAAAAAGACCTCCCAGGGAGTATGAGAGAATAGATCTTTTTTGAAGACCGAAGCATATCAGGACATACATCAAGTTTCACCCCCACAAAAACCCTCCCAAATAATTGAGAATAAGGCCCGTCAAATAGAGCAAGAATATTTGGTTTGAAACGAATTAAACGAATTGTAATTGGATTGGGAAACTTGATGAAGGGACAGTGATGACCTGGGTAGAGTAGAAAAACCCTGGCTTGATTCCTCGGAGCGGGGCGTATTTCTCAGTCCGGCAGGTTGCGGCACCGAAGTTCGTCAACGTTCAAGGGCTGTCTCTCTTTATATTTCTGCACTTTACGATCATTCAGGATCTACTTTATTTATTTAGGCTAGTTTTGAACATGAGTGTGCAGACCATATGCCTCATCCTCCCCTGCGAACCCATCCGAGTCATTATCGGTGAACTCATCATGATATGATGTCCTGTTCGAGTTTTTCCAAGGACGCGGTTGGTCACTGTCACTGTCGTCACCCAAAACAAGGTCAACATTGTCATCATCCAGATCAGTGAATCCAATTCGCTCTTCTTCGTCTCTTGCAAGCGTAGTAGAGGCTTTGTTCACATCAGGATCTTCCGAAAACCCACGGTGAGGGCGGCGCGCTGCATGATCAGCTTGGAGAGAACCTCGGATATCTGCACGCTCTTGGGCTTCGAGCTCTTTTGCGCGGGCCAAAGTTCTAAAAAAGAGAAAAAATAAGGATCAGCATGAGTGCACAAGATATTGACAACAGGTGAATTTGGGGCTCGAACCTTTGGTATATATACCACCCGGTAAAGATTCCAACACCGACTGTAAGGATAATACTGCAGATATTCACGGCTTTGGATCCCGCACTCATTTCCTCGCCCTTCTCGGAGAGCAGACGAATCCGACTACCAATGAACGCAGGAACCAACAATTTGGGAGAGATGATGGCCGTTGCGAGTCCGTACATCAACGGCTGCACCGTTGGAAATGTGGACACAGCTCCGTTGCAGATTGAGTAGGGCAGCGGGCATAAACGGATCATACAAAGAAGCTTGAGGCCATCATACTTCAATGTCAGGGCCAATGCAGCGAACCTCTTGTCATGTTCCATAAGGCGTTTGACGAATCCAGACAGAATTGTCCGCGAAACATAAAACGAGACAGTCGACCCAAGAATTGTTGCGGAAGCGTAGATCAGCCATCTATAGAAGAAATGTCGAGTTAGCCTTTTGTTTTCGTTGTTTTTGCAAGTAAAACATTTCAAGTAACATGAATTGGTCTCTTACCCTTTCCATACACCAAATATAAAACCAGCCACAGTCCCAAATGTGGACCAACCCACAAGAGGTGGGAATGAGACAAAAAAGACACACAGCCACAGGATGAAGGCGGCTAGCCAGGATGTTTCCCACTTCTCAGCGACCGGGCCAAGCCAGATGAACAACTTCCCAGTTAACACCATAAACGCGATACCGGATGCGCCCAAGAATAAGGCAGCGAAAAAAGTCCCAATTTTCTTCCATAGAGTCATCCCCTCCCAGATCTTATTCATACGGACATATAACTCCGTGCCGCGCTGGATTATCTGTTCGCGATAGCTTGTACCCTGCCCGCTCGACCTGCCGGAGCTTCGCCTGCCGGCGCGACTCCAGGGCGGGTGAGCATCACTGCCAGGAGAAGAAGGTATGGGATCCGGAGAAGAGGGTGAGAGAGACAACGCCCTGGCGGTGGACTGGTAGTCCGCAGGCATTGTGAAATGTGTATAGTCTCGGGGTATCAATATTTGGTAGGAGGATGATCGAATCCGCGGAGAAATGAACCGCTCTAAAACAATGACCGGCAGGAAGTGCAATACCAGGGCCAATAGGTACTCAGAGTATCCAAAGAAGTTTTAAGGGCGTGTCAAGGCCCTGATAGTTGGACCGAACATGGAGAAGAAGCCAAGCACTTTTAGGCTGAAAATCAGTTTGACCCTGAAAGTCCAGATTGCAAGTCAGCGGATCCGCCGGACTCAAGCTCGGGAGCTGTTGACCGATCTACATGTTCCCCAGAGTTATTTAACTTCTTTTATGATGTTTATACTATAAGGTACCCATGTAACTATTATTATGTTATATATATATTTGTATCTATTTATTCCCATGTTGGGGATTGCCGATGCTATAAAAGTGCCGCTAACCCACAGGTCATGAATCTTCCTGTTACCTAGGTATTTTTTATTCATTTATTTCTGGTAGATAGTATTATACATAGTTCTCTTTCAAATGTATCTATCTTGTTATTATATTATTATGTTATTATACAAATAATAAATTCCACCTATATAGGTACATATGTACCGAGTGTCCCATGAAGCTCAGCCGATAAGCTGTTGTGCCCCAGTGTTGATCCTCCTTCTCCGCCTCCCCCTCTTTGTCATTTCACCCTTTATTCAACTTTCATTCACACACGTCGATCGGCGGCGATGCCATGTAATTATCTGCTTGTCATTTATCACTTTTGCAACTTTCATCGCCTTGCGCTATAACCTTGAAACCAACCCTGGAACCCCTATCGTTCTTCACTTTCCCGATCACCTGGACATAGAGAGAAAGCATGATGTGCCTCTGATTCCCGACTCTGGTCCTACTTTTGTCGAGCATTTCCTGCCTCCCAGCCTCGGACACCTCATCCAGGACCCAACCCCTTCATCGCTAGGGTCTTTTACCGATCCCTTTCCTCTGCGCGTATTACCCATATCAACATACAACATGGTTTCCGACGAGCTTCTTGAAAAATGTCTCCAGATCCTGCAGGATCAGGCACTGGATGAAGAAGAGCAGGCGGAGAAAGTGGAGGACTTCTTGCGCGCAAACACGTCCTTGGCGGGTACACCTTTGGAGAATGCGGTATTGGACATCCTTTGGCGCCATCGCAACCGAAACCTGCCAGACGCATCGCCTCCAGTCCGTCATACCGTGATTCGCCGCTCATCACCTGCGCCATGGCAGATGGCCCGATCATCCACACCGCTCTCCCCTCATTCGACCTTAGGAACAAGCCCCGGGAGTACCTCGTGGATGCAAAGCTCCCGTGGGCCATTCTCGCGGCCTCCGCTATCTTCTACTGTCTCTCCATTTACCTCTCCACGCCCATCGCCCCGGCTTGCCCTTGCGCAGCCTATTCCTCATTCCCCAAATCTAAATGCCTACGAGTTCTCGGACCAAAGTCAGATCTCTGACTTCTATGGAGACCTTGGGGGCGATAACAATGTTGACTGGCTAGTTGCAGATGATGCCAATAGTACAACATCATCCGCGGGCGGTCTTAGCACCCCGGGGGCACTCAGCGCCACTGCGGTTGAATTTGTTCCAGACATGAGCCCACATGATATCCTGCGCACTGTCCTGGGTGACAAACGATCAAACGATGAAATAGAAGCTGCACTGGAGGCGAACAGTTATGATCTCGGTGCCACCATTGCTTCGCTCTCGCAGGATATAGAATCCGAGGCGATTTCAAAACAACAGGATGACGGTCGTGTTTTGGTTGGCAAGTCTATGACAATGGAGCAAGTACGCCCGGTCACACCATTGGGTAGCAGTCGCAGCCCTGTGGTCTGTAAGTACTGGCTGTCCACTGGACAATGCCTTCGAGCAGACTGTCGTTTCAGTCATGACCTAAACACACATGTATGCAAGTGAGTGTTTTTGAATATCCTGGATAAACCAATCGTTCTTGCGCTAACAAATGTGAATAGGTATTGGGTTATGGGGAATTGTCTAGCCGGTGATGGATGTCCCTTCTCGCACGACCCTTCGGCGCTTATTGGCAATCTCAGTGTTACGGATGGTAGTCGACCAGCTTCGCCCTCCCCGTTCCAGGTAGACAGCGGTTCCGATGCATTCCCACCCCTGCAAGCGGCAGATAACGGTGATCAGTGGGCAAACCAGTACACAGGCCGGTACCCTGCCCATCTTTCTGCTTATCAAGCGAGCAAGTATGCGCCTCCTGGCCTCCTTCCTGGAATGGGCAAAAGAAACGGAAGCGCAACTCATCTCGGACGCCCCAGCTCCCGTCCATCAAGCCGCCATCAGAATCGAGAGTTGAATCCTGCTGCACCGTCTGTAGACGATCCGGATGCCTTTCCAACTCTTGCCGCGGTCAATGCGAAGAATGCCGGGAAGAAGCATCATGGGAAACGGGGCGGTCATAATAACCGCGAAACCAGCTTGAGCAAAGAAAGCATACCCTCATCTCTGGCGGATGTGGTTCGAATGACCCCATCTCCTGTCCCCGGGAAAACCAAATCTGGTTCCAGAAACAAAGACACGAAGAGTCGCGAGAACAGTGCCGCAGCTCAGTCAATTCTACCCCCGCAAAATATTCCCTGGCTGGAGACAGGATCGCGGGCCAATCAACAATATATCAAATACCGGACAGAGGCTATTCGACACGGCACTGTGCGAAACAAGTTCCTCCAGAGGTAAGCTTCCAGCGAGTAATATTATTTTCCACCCCTTCTAACGGTCATATCTCCCAGCGCTGCCCAAGCATGGAACCGCAATGATGCGCGAGCTGCCAAAGCATTGTCGTTGCGCGGCCAGGCCGAGAACGACGCGATGCGCAGGTGCCATCGGGAGGCTGCACGCCAGCTTTATGAAGAACGTAATCAACATCTCTCTCACAAGGGATTGGATGAATCTTCAGAAGAACTCTACGTTGACCTTCACGGTCTCCACCCAGAAGAGGCTATCGAATATCTCGAGAAGATACTGCTCAAGCATGCTCGAGAAGGTCTCCGGGTGGTGTATGCCATCACAGGCACTGGGCACCACTCGAAGAACGGCAAAGATAAAATCGGCAAGGCCGTTAAAGCATGGCTAAACGAGTGGCGGTACTTGTTCCGGGAATTCAGTGTACCTGGTGAACGAGGCGGTTATGTTGGAGGGATTCTCGGCATCGATCCAACCAGTTATGACAAGTCAGTAGCCAAGGAGCTGGCTAGTGAATTGATGGAGGCCAACGCTGGCGGAGAGCCTCCCATTCTGACTATGGGCAAAATCCATTTACTCAAGCGCGAAGAAATAGAGACTTAAGATCAATGACCTGGCGTGTCATTCAACTCAATTTGCGTCAAAGCGGCATGATACCCCGGTACCAAATTTATCTATTGAGTCCTTTGATAACTCAACTTGTTTTCAACCTTTTCGCCCGAATCTGTGACTCAACCACAGCACGCAGCAAATCCATCAGACGTACGTATCAAGTTCTTTAAGCAAACTTCAGGATATATTCTTCTCGGCTATATGCTTCTATATACTTAGGTGGTCTCGTCATGACTCTTAGAACTAGCAAAGAGACCGAATACAGTCCGTAGTAGAAAACCCCCCTTCTCAAGGAAATGATGCACGCATACAACATACTAGAATGTACAAGGAACATGTACAGGGATATCATGCGTATATAGATAACACACAATGCTACACACATGAACCACCTATTCTGGTTCCTGATGCTGCCACTCCCCCCTCAAAGCATCAACATCAACCCCACAAGCCTCAGCCTTTTTAACAATAGCCCTAGCCTTATGGGCAACAGGAACATCAATCATCTTCCCATCAAGTGTCCAAGCACCCCTCCCCGCCCTCGCAGCCTTCTCATCCGCAATAACAACCCGCATAGCCCACTCGGTCTCCTGCGCATCCGGTCCAAATATCTGATCCGCAACCTTCACCTGCGACGGATGAATACACTGTTTCCCATTGAACCCCAACCGGCGCCCATCCCGACACTCCTCCTGCAGCACATCCGGCGGCGACCCATCCCCCTTCTCAGACTTGTACGCCGTACAAACAAGGTCAATCGTCGATGGTAGATCCGCCGCCCGTGCAGCGGTTGCTATCGCAGACCGCGCGAACAGGAACTCTCTCAGCGAGGGCGTCCGCGTAATACTCAGGTCTAGTGCGAAGTCTTCGGCTGCGAACACCAGACCTTGGAGCAAGGGCGAAGCGGCGCAGATCTGAGATAGGTTTGTGAGGGATTTGGCGGACTCGACTAGAGCCAGGAGTGAGATTGGGGTTCTTTCTGTTGGGGGTTGCTGGGATAGAGTGTGGGTTATGACGTCTGTGACGAAGGTTAGGTCGGAGGCGGAGTTGACTTTGGGGATTACGATTGTTGTTAGGTTTGGTGATTGGAGCTGGGACAGTTAGCAAGTTGAACGTTGTAGGGAGGGCGATGTATTTATGTATGTGTGTGGAGGTGTGGCCGGAGTCCACTCACGACTTCGGTCAAATCACCCAGTGCCAGTCCGCTGTCTACGGAGTTGATTCGAACGGCGCGTTCCCGGATTCCTGGGGGCGCGGCTTGGTCGATTGCTCTCCGCACTAGCGAGCGCGCCTCTGCTTTCATGTGCGGTGTCACGCTGTCTTCAAGATCATAGGTGACGCAGTCGGCGGTCAGTGAGCGCGACTTGTCTAGGAAGCGTTGGGAGGAGCCGGGGACTGTTTGGCGTTGTTGGTTAGCTTTGGGGTTTTTGGAGCTCGGGAAGTGAAATGCGGGGAAGATGCGATGCGGCTTTGGAAGGGAGCTCGAGCTTACCGTAGAGGAGGGAACGACGGAGAGTATTGCGGGCTGCCATTGTTTATGTGGTGATTTGTGTACATGCAAATGGTATAGAGTTGTGTACTGTGTCTCTTGGGGTGGAGGTCTTTTATGGAGTTGACTTGTTCGGGAAGAAGCCGACTCGGCTATCCGTAAAGCCGCTTTGGAGTATGTCCCACATAGAAGGTTGGCAGAGTTAATTTCTTTTCTGTTTCTTTTTCACTAGTGAAATTTATGAGATTGTCTAGAATTAACTATTCTTACTATGCTTACAAGCAATTCGTTTAAATCGGAGAACTTCGCATGGGGACCATTTTGTCATTCTCGGTAGCGAAGCTTGAACTAGATATATTTTCGCAAACAAATGCATTTACTACATATGTACTTATTCCAAAGATCAACTTATTGTCCGATCTCAACAAAAGGAAGCTCGACGAAGCATACATCTTTTACTGCATTTGATTATACTCTTTCCTCAAACACAAGTGATGACAGTTTCCCAAGGCTTGGTGGCTGAATGGGGGAATGTATATTCCTTCTGATCGACTATGGGTCGTTGAACCGAGGTATTCCTTGGAAATAGGTCCATGCGGCAATAAAAAAACGCTTCAGTCATTCATCTCTGTTTATGTGAGCCGATGTAGTTGCCTCCAGGTACATGTACAGTCTAGATTTGGTGAACTACCAGAAGAATTGTACGCAATCCATATCTACCTCTGTACTTCATCCTCTGCCTGCTTGGGTATTGAGATGTGACTTCTCTACTACTGTGGCCTCCTCAGGTGATTTTGGTGCAGAGGTCCTGTATAGATCAAACTTTGTGTCTTATCGGCTTAGCGCCACATACGTTGGACCTAAATGACTTGCACGTGTGGCTGACTGGTATCCACTTAATGTAATCACGTGAATATTTTTGGATATTGTATAGAAGTAGGAGTAATGATTAGATCTTCTTATAGACTCTCTTTAACAATCTTGAAATAACAGGGCTTTCCACAATATGCTAGATAGATGCTGCAGCCCTTGGCGAAGCAAAACCTAGATATCATCAACAGATCTACTTGGTCTATGATTCTGCTTAATGATTATTCTGCCACAATAAACCGCCTGCACCCGTGTTTCGACCACATAGGGAGTATCGTCAGTCAATAACAGACCTAACTTGGATCAAACTGACCCAATCTGCTGACCGAGAGGTCCTTTACATTCAGATCACAGCAAACCCTCCACCTTGCAAATCATGGACCAAGGACAAGGAGGTCAAGGCGACCTCAACTGGCGCCTCAGCGCGCATCCGATCACGCTACTTGTCTTCTTGGGCATTCGCATCGGTTCGTACTCCCCCGCCACGAGTAACACCGGCAAGAATGACTTGACTAACATGATAAATAGGTGCGCTACTGATGTATCTATTTGGTGTACTCTTCATCGATGACTTGTATGGACCCTGCGCTGAACTACCCGCTTGTCAACCTGCAATGCTAACGTCTATCTAGTATCCTCGTCTTCATTTTCACCCTTCTCCTCCTCTCCGCGGACTTCTATTACCTCAAAAACATTGCGGGACGCCGGCTGGTCGGCCTACGTTGGTGGAACGAGGTCGACACCTCAACCGGCGACTCGCAGTGGGTCTTCGAATCATCCGACCCTAACGTTCGCACTGTGACAGCCACTGACAAGCGGTTCTTCTGGCTGAGTCTGTATGTCACACCAGCTCTGTGGGTGGGCCTTGCGATATTGGCCATTGTGAGACTTGTCGGTGTTATTTGGCTCAGTTTGATTGGTAAGTTACTCCCAAGATACTTTGATTACGCCGGCAAAGGTATTGACTTTCGTTTAGTTATTGCACTCATTTTGACTATCACGAATACCATGGCCTTCTCTCGCTGTGATAAGTTTGGTCAGGCCTCCACATATGCCAACTCGGCTCTGGGTGGTGGTATTGTCAACAACATCGCCGGTGGCATGCTGGGCAGGCTATTCCGGTAATGGTAGGCAGCTTGATGTCAGTCTTGCCGTTAGTGGCCCTATACCGTCAGTCTTTCTGCATGTGCTTTGTATTCTAGCAGAATATTTCACCACTTACCATTCAATTGCATGCAATCTCTTTTTCAAAACATGGAATCTCATTTGTAGCTTTAATGTGATTGAGCATCCAGTCTAGTGTAAGTTGCTCGAAGAGATAGAGCCGTTGCCTGAGGCAGGTCGACACATCGTTCCTTCCTCAAACAGGCAGTTTCCACCTCAGCGTCACCTGCCCATTCTCGTTTGTTTTCCCTTTCCTCCTCTCCCCTCTTCCTCTTCTTCTTCCTTTTCTTCTTCCCTCTTCTCCCTCTACCTTCGATCGTCATCAACAAACAGCCTTTGCGTCTACTACGCATCAAAAACCGCGTTGGTAAGTGTCGTTCTTGGCATTGATATTGCACCGTCCTTCTCTATGATCTTGGGAGAGCGATCCACTTGAAAAGATCGTGTTTCGATTCTCCTTAGTGATTTTGTCTCATCTGTCTTTCTCTGCCTTCTCTCAAACCTCCCTCACTCTCCTCCCTATTCATTTTTTATATGTCGTGCTTCTGCCCTTGATCCTGGTGAAGGGATTATATCACAACGACCAGAATGAGTTGGAGAGTTTTCCTAACACGTCCCAGGTACACCGCAATGGAGACGAATATCCATGGAACCCATAACGATGATTTCACCTGCGGACAGTGAGTTCTCCCCTCCAAGATTCTAGCTTACACAGCTCGGGAAATTCCCCCAAGAACCTCAGTCACTCACAAACTCAAGATGCGGTGAGCCTGGCCACATGACTCGCCAGTGCCCGAATGACTCGGTTCCTCTGAGAGCTAGAGACAGCAATGCAGGGTAAGTTGGTTCTGCATGTCGCATTGTGCCAGCTCATCTAACCGATGCTGAAATATAGTGATGCCTATGGCAACTACGGCGACGGTGACGGCAATTACGGCAATGACGGAGGATATGGTGAATACGCCGGTGGTGGTGGTGGTGGTGACCGCGCTTGCTTCAACTGTGGTCAACCAGGGTGAGTTATTGTTGAATATCTTTTGTGTTACGACGTTAATTGTTCTCTTGAAACAGTCACTCCAAGGCGGAATGCACCGAGCCTCGCAAGATGGGCGCCTGTTTTAACTGCGGCGAAGAGGGGTGAGTCGTTTTTGAGCGTTTTGTGCTTTGATTTGCTAATTGACTTCAAAAACAGTCACTCTAAGGCCGAATGCACTAAGCCCCGCGTCTTCAAGGGTACCTGCCGTATCTGCGAGAAGGAAGGTCACCCAGCTGTTGATTGTCCCGAGAGACCCCCTGATGTTTGCAAGAACTGCCAGGCTGAAGGCCACAAAACGCTGGAATGCAAGGAGAATCGAAAGTTCGACCTCAACCGCGTTGCTGACATGCTTCCCCACGAAGGTTGGGCTGCAATGAAGAAAGCCAGCGACGAAAGGGATCTCGATGATTTCCGCGAGGTACCAGGAATCCATACGTACCTTGAAGATCTTGAGCTTTAGCTGACCTAACTCCAGGCACTCAAAATCTATTCCAAGGCAGTTCCCCACGCCACTTGGGGTGATATCGAGAGAAAAATGCGTGAAGACGACTTCAACATCTACATCATTGCTATGGTAATCAACCGTTGTCGTTTTGATGCTTGTGGATGAATTACTCATGAATGAATTTTAATTACAGGAGGCTGAAGTTGACGATGTCATGAGCCTGATTGATCTTCAGGGAGTGCTTGATCGCGAATTCGTGATTGGGTTCTTTTTTAGCCCCAAGGCGTCGCGCGGTCACCTCCGAGACCGTTGGCCTGCGGATGCTGAGGAGAATATTGAGCGCCTGAACAACGCAGGTATTCCGTACGAGCGCAAGGTGCCGAAGTGCCTGAACTGTGGAGGTAGGTGTTCACTTTGACTGCAGATTCCTCAGATCGTTGCTAAATCCTCCTGTTTAGAGATGGGACATATCTCGCGCAGTTGCAAGGAGGAGCGCGCCGACAACGAACGTGTGGAAATTAAGTGCTCAAACTGTGATGGGCTTGGACACCGTGTGCGCGATTGCAGACAGCAGCGCAAGAACAAGCACAGCTGCCGTAACTGCGGGTATGTGGCTGTGATGCAAACAAAAAACTGGATAATGCTGACTTGTATGAAGATCTGTGGAGCATATTGCTTCTGACTGCCCCGAGCCCCGATCTGCGGCTGATGTTGAATGCCGGAAGTGCAACGAAAGTAATTACAAGACCTTGACCAAGATGATCCATATATTTCATGGTGGGCTAACATTTATGTTTTAGCTGGCCATTTTGCCAAAGACTGCCCCAATGTTGCTGATCGTGGCCCTCGCACCTGCCGCAATTGCGGGTATGTTGAAATATCATAATCGGAGCCCCCCTGGGATTGTCGCTGGTTCTAACACAAATGCAGATCCGAAGACCACATCGCTCGCGATTGTGATCAGCCTCGTGACGTTTCTACTGTTACCTGCCGCAACTGCGAAAAGAGTAAGTGTGGTGTGCCTTTGAGATTTTCATTTTTCTTTGGCTATTATTTACTGTGAAACATAACTGACAACTATTTTAGCCGGACATTACTCTCGTGATTGCGATCAGCCGAAGGATTGGTCGAAGGTTCAGTGCAAGAATTGCGGAGAGAGTGAGTTGATCACACGCGCTTATTAATTATTAATACTTGAGTTAGTCCGCTAACAATCCTTTAGTGGGTCATACCATGGTCCGTTGCCGTCAGCCGAAGGACGATGAGCCTGAAGACGAACCTACTTTCTCCGCTGGCTCTCCTAAGCGCGAAGAACCCGATCTGCTCGGCCCAGAGGCCAGCGCGGAACCGTTCCAATTCAAGCGCCACGAGGAAAACGATGACTTGTGGTAGTCACCACAATTTGATGCCAAAATGGGGCGACTGTGAAGCTCTAAAAGCAACAGCAATTTGGCTTCCCTTTCTCCTCAGTTATGATCGGCCCCATGTGAGACTTGTCGGGTGTTGACTGTTCTTCGGATGCCTCACGGTGGCCCAAAGACGGACAAGAACCTGATGTTACATATGGGGTCCTTGCTGCTTCTCAATTCTTTTTCCTTCAAATCTTGCGATATGTTTTATGTTAGCCAGGATTTTACCCAGGAGTTACAATGATTGCTGACCGGCCGAGGGTCTCGAAAGGAGGATATTTGTTAAGATCTTTCCTGCTCTGTTGAGCTCGATTTGATTTTGACGCGCCTGTGGATGAGCTTGAGGATGGAGGGTCTGGGCAGGAGGGCTCTAATCTGGGGACGTTTCTACGTTCATTGTTATCTGGCTGGCAAGTTCAATTCTAATGGAACATCCATTTAGTGCATTCTTCTTGGCTCACTGTATACTGCTCGAGTAAGATCTTACGAGATTGAATGCTCGCTACCTAGGTAGCTATACGTACCATTTTTCCTCTGCCGGGTGGGGCTTTCCTATCTTAGCTGCCTCCGCTTTTACGAGGGCGCTCAGAGTCAGGCTCACAAAGCGTCTATTCACGCTGCTGCGTACTCGCGCAAACGCCTCAGGTGTATGCGATGTAATCCATGATCAGAAAGGCTGAGGGGAAAATTCGACCTGCAAAAGAGCTCTGCGAAAGCGAAGGCTGGGATGGCGAAGGGTTGTCCAACTATATCGACCTTCTCTGTGGCACCTTAATCTGTCCAGCTATCCCTGTGCTGAATCCGTCCAATTGAGACCATCTCCTGTGCGATGATATGATTTCCAATTCTCCTACGCTCTTGAGCTCAAGCCATTTGGCTTCACGTCGAGAGATATTATTGTTGATGCGTTTCTATGTTGACCGACCGGAAGGTGGATGTCATGGAAGCTGAAGAAAAGCGCCGTTTATCCAACGAAGTCCAGTTGTCTGACTTTCGCAACAAAAATAAACACACCGGACGTATGCAGCAACCGAAGAATATTCTTTAGCGGTTACCCGTGGGCGGGTAACCCAAAGTGAGAACCCAACCCAAACCCACGTTTGGCGAGGCCTAGCTGGATTGGACCTTGAGAATCTGGCAACTTGGCCAAATGTCTTTCTGCCAGTCTCGCCGTTCCCAAGTGATGGTTTTGGAGCTCACTCTGTACAGTAGTGACCGGTATCGCCTTCCCTGTCGGGATCCGAGAGATTAGTAGTAAAACACGCGAAAAGGAGATTCTTGAGTGCCGATGCACAACGACGGGCATTTCATGCATTGGCAAATCAGTCCTTTTTTCCTTAAGAGGAGATGGGCCCCTATATGGAATCATTCTACGGAGTTTCTTTACGACTCAGCTTCAGGGAACATGTCTACTAACTCTATGAAAACGGGATGCAATGCACCCTGAGGTGCTAGGATCGAGGGCTCTTCGGTGGAAAGATGAGGAAGGCAAAGAAGATACCTGGTTTTTCTTGGAACCTGGTACTACTGAGAGGTGGCACGAGAAATTTGTCGATGAACGAAACCAAGTTGATTAAGCCCTGAAGTCAAATTCTTCGATTTTCTTTTGCCTGTGTTATCTGTAACAAAACGAGTTCATCCCAATTAATGAGCTAGATATTTCCAGAGAAACATCATTTTCTTTTCGTGTTTATACTCGCCTGTTGCCACTTTTCAATCAAGTGAAATTGAGCACCCGTGGAAGCCCCTAACCAACGGAGGTTAACCTATATATCTTCTGTCCAATTGGGGAACACAAAGCCGAAGATAGATCGCAGGTCCTCTATTTGGCCGCTCGAGACCTGGGTATCGTGGGATGGGGGATAATAGAGCATGTCGGACCCAAACGGCGATGGCGTGTCAAGGCTTGTGAAAGGAATTTGCCCGGAGTTTTGTTGCGCTATTATCGAAGAAAGCTATGACGGAGTCAGCGATTTTTCGACATCAGGGAACTTTCCCCTACATCTATATCTTTGAAGTCAATATCTGGCCCGTAATCCCATATTGGTTGGATTCCTTGCTCCATCTCCGGCTTCGACGCGGAGTGCGTGGGTCGTCTTTCCTGTAACTTGAGAACATATTGTCGCGCGATACCTGCAAAGCTTGAGATGATGCTTCCCGGGAGCGCGCCCTTGGAGGCGTAGTCAAGTTGACTGAAGTATGCTGCTGCCTGATCAAGGAAGGCAATATTACTTTCCGTTTCTTTGTGAGTGGTATTGTGAATCACAAAATCAAACAGAACGAAGACCGCCGATAATGGCATGATACCAGCAACACTAAGTTAGAATATTAGTCGGATGGCTTTCGGCTGTTTGTCTCGTTGAAGTTGAAGAAGATGGACTTACAACACAGGCATATAAGGCTCGATTTCAATAAACGAAACAAGCTCAATGATAGTGCGCGCTGCATTCATCAATTCCCACTTGCTATCCTCGCGATCTAGCTTTTCTTCGGGGTCGACGTGAAGGGATAGGCGTTCCACGGCAAAAATCAGGTTGTAGTATAAGTAATGCGTCTGTAAAGCGACTATCTTTGTCCTAGGACACTCAAGTTCACTTAATCGGATTGCCTCCTTTGGCCGGAATGCCATAGGTACCGATAAGCGCCATTCTTCTAACCCTCGTCGTACGTGTTTGATAGAATATAAGCAATCCTCTACGGACTGTAAAGAAGATCTCGTCGAAAACAGAGTGGTGTATGCAATCGATGTTATTCTGCTCAGATGAATGGCGGATTGGAACCAGTTGTAGTCTCCTAGCATAGACCCAGGGACGGAAGGGATGTCGCATCCAATATCTTCATCAGCGAACACCTAGATGATTATTAGTAAAAAATTTCCCAAGCTCCGGAAAGAGCTTTAGCACCAAACTCACCGAGCTATTATTATCAGAGAAGGAGGCAATCTTTTCCAAGTGGTATATGGTCCAGAACACTCTCAAATGAACTGGTTGAGCATTGGAAGATTTGTGATATCGTAGACTTTGTGCCATTCTAGCTGCTTCGTATACCAATGCCTGATCTAGTTGAAGACAGCAGGCATTCATTGCAAAGATAGACTGCCACTCGAATGTTAGGTTGGCGTAGATAGTAAGCGATGGTTTTGAGACCTCACCATAGCTGTCAGAGCCTATTGAATTTTATTAGCAAGAATTGAGACATAATAGGCATGGGCATGAAAATACTTGGAGTTTCGTCAACGAGTATGGAGGAACCAATATGTCCGGAATAGCACCTAGACATAATTGAAAAAGGCTCCACGCTTTGCCCGAACCTGGCGTGAAGCTGCCGCCTTGGTGGTACTGGCTGCCTAAAGCTAGGACAGCGTGATATATTGCAGAACATGCTTTGCTGCATTTCGATGTCCCAGTACGGCGGCAGTCAGTAGTATGCGAGGTGAACTCTTGTATATCCAGGAAGGGGTAGATGGGATGGATCTGGTCAAAGTAGGCTAGTTCATTCAATCAGGTACCGGACTATAGGTAAGAGAAGGATAAACTCACAACCAATATAACCATCGGCTTCGCTTGACGTCACATCCACACTGGCTAGCGGCGGCTGGAACTCAATGGTAGACGACTCGGAAGAGTCGTTTCGCGAACATATTCGTGACACAAGGAGGGTTTCTAGATCCTCAACGAGCTCTGTGAGTACATCTGTCCCTATCCGGCTGGCCAATGCACTCATCCGTTCATTCGAGAAAAAGCTTATGCTCGAGCTGGTTGCTAGATATGTGTGAGGAGTGAGCCACGCAAGTGGGAAAATCTAAGCTAACCTCGCCCATTGCTAGCCTGCAAGTGCGCTATCGTCAGGAATGTGGATTTCTGCGAGAGTATGTTTTAACACTCATACCTTGACAACGACAGAATCGTCATAGAGAGGGACTCTTTGAGGCCCAAAGCGCAAGAGACGGTCGATGGGGAGGTCATTTTCGCGTGGCAGTGATGGTTCAACAGAAAGGGGAAAAGGTGCTAGGTATTGTTAGTGACTATATAGTAAATTAGCTGTGCAGTACACACGTGTATCCTCAAGTTTGCGTCGGAATTTACGTCTGATAGGCGTAAATTGACAAGACTCATTGCGGTTCTACATGAAGCTGCATTAGAGGCGATGCAATATCACTGGGAAGTTGGAGTTGGAACTATCGTACGATGCAGTGGATGCAGGTTGATGGTGCTCCCGGTTCTCTAAGGGTTTCAGGTACTACAAACAGTAGTATCATCAGCCTCAGCCCCATGTACCTAGGTACCTGACAGCGATCTGGAAAAGGGTTTACCGATGCATCGGACTTTTCGGATTCTGCACTGATCACAGGACTTGTTGATTCTTATCACTTTGGAGGCCATTCTGAGATAAGGCGTCAATCAGGGTACATTTCCTTCTCTGGAGAGCATCGACTGATGAAAGTAAGCTGTTCCTTATACCCCGCGATATGTCACACCGCCTTCAACACGTAGTCGCGTTGAAGTTCTTTGGCTTCTTGATGGGATAACTGTATTGCTTGGAATCACTTAATCTTGCCCAACGGTAGTCCAGAGATCATAAAAATATTTTGTGGAAGCACGTGTATGCCAGACAGTATAGGCATCCAACCCTATTTAACTAGTCCTAGATCTTGGAGATAGTTTCTTTCCTCAATCAACTATTAGTACCTTTTTCAATCGGTTGTTTCCCTTATTCCTCGCCTGGGCAGTGTTCAACCTTTCAAAAAAGAATTCCCGATGCGCATTTTCAACTTCTACGGTTTGATTCGTCTACCAGTTTCTGACCCATAGGCACTCAAAATGAAGGTTCTGAGCGAAAAGCACTTGAAACACACAAAACTATCAGATTAGGATTAATTACTCTAAATTTTACTCTCGCAGGATCTATTGTGTTCGAAATCCCATCAAGCCCGCTTGCTACCCCCCTTTTTAGGGACCTTGAACGCCCAGTAAAGCCCTAGCCCCGCAATAATGTTCACCAGGATATAGACCCATATGAGCCCAAAGTCCCGCCATCTCGTATCATACGAAATTTGAAATCGAGCGAGGAACTCATTGGTAGTGGCAAGTGGGCAGTATTCACACATACTTCTCGCTGTCGGGTTTAACACCAAACCACCGGCGGATTCCCTATAAGCTCCTAGGAATTCTTCGCAAGTAAGATTTCCAGTGGGAGCCATATGGAGGATCTCGCGGTCGGCACATGTAACGTTCGAGTTGGCAACTGCGTTGGACATGATGCCCCCGACAAGGTATGTTGCGGGCGAGACCCGATACATGAAGGACCAAAACTTTGGCAGATCAACTATAGGAACCCCGACTCTGCGTTGATGGTTAGTACATTTCCTAACTTTAAACAGGAATTAACTCCTCTGGACTGGCACTCACCCGCAGAACAGGATACACAACATCCAGAAAAGACTGGTCAATACGCCTGCAACTTCGGGAAGATCAATCCAGAAAATGGCAAAGTGGGCAAACGTGCTCGTAAATAGCAGGTACACCCATAAAAGGAGGAAGACGGAGAAACCGCGGATAGCCTGGTCATCGGGCGTTGTGTTTCGGACAAAGCCTACTGGGTAATACCAACAGAAGTACATGATGACCGCCATTAAGGTATGCCATGCGAGCTCAATGAGGATATTGGAAAGTAGGTATGCTTTTGAAATGAGAAAAGTGAGCGGGGTTGTATCGAAGGGAATTACGTTGAGAGGTAGAAAGACTTACTTGTCCATCTGTAAATCTTTGACGGGCGTTCACGAGCCTCGTACAGCGCTCGCTGGGGTAGGAACATGGGCATGATCTGCTCATTGATATTGATGAACAGCACGAGCAGCATGAAGATAGCCCACAGTTGGTTCTGCAGCCCTTGGATGGAATTGTTGGCATTGAAACTAAAGCCGAGGTAGAGGGACTTACAAAATAAAATTGGTTAGCCCGAGTCAAGAAGACAATGAGGGATTTTCACGTACAGAAAGAACAATCAGTATGGTTTTGGACCAAATGTAAGTCGGTGATCGCCAGAGATGCTTCCAAGTGCGTTGTAAAACTTGGCCGAACTGTGTCCAAAAAGAGGCTACGAACTCCTGATGCTGAGAAGTGTCTCCATCTGTGGTGTCTTCATTGCCGGCGGGTTCTGCTTGTGGAAGAGCACGAAGGCGACCAAGCTCCGCCTTGACTGTCTGATATTCAGGAGAATCTAGCCATACTTGGTGCCAGTCTTGTGCTTTTGAGTCATCAGCAGGCGGTTCAATTACCTGTAGCATCCATTCAGCTGGGTTGGCACCCGCTGGGCATGCAGAGGCATTGTTTTTCTCAAAGTAATCAATCATGGTTGAAGCTCCACTTCCCAAATCTACAGGCACATTCAATTAACGAAAAGGGCTCTCAAGAAATGGGGCGGGCAGATACTTACCACCAAAATAAGCTGTCTTGCCTCCCGGTGCGATGAGGAGAAGACGATCAAACTGGTCAAAGAGGATAGCAGAGGGTTGATGAATTGTGCAAAGAACCGCCTGGCCGCTATTCGTCAATTTCCTGATGAGTTCAGAGATGGACCAGGATGTCTGTGAATCCAATCCTGAAGTTGGTTCATCGAAGAAGATCAGGAGTTGAGGTCGGGCAGCAAGTTCCACACCAATTGTAAGACGTTTGCGTTGCTCAACATTAAGACCCTCTCCAGGAACACCAATGACGGCATCCGCAAATTCTCGCATTTCCAATGTATCGATGACATGCTCAACGTAGTTTAGCTTCTCGGATCGGGTTATCTCTGCAGATTGCCGAAGAATCGCACTGAACCGAAGCGCTTCGCGAACGGTCATGGTGCTGAGATGGAGATCTTGCTGCTGGACATAGCCAACCTTGTGCTGGAAAGAAGGATCTGTTGGGTTTCCATTGACCATTGTACTGCCAGTTACAACACCGGTGGTGACACGAGTGGCCAGAACGTCCAGTAAAGTCGTTTTTCCTGCACCAGACACACCCTGATAAATCCTTGATTAGTGCGTGCTTGCATTGAATTTGGGATTGAGATTACCATGAGGATAGTTGATACGCCAGGTTTGACCCAGCCATCGACATGGTCCAAAAGGGAGCGGTTCCCGCCCTTGATTTCAATGTCATAGCAGAGATCCTCCCAGTGGAAAACATCCTTTCCAACTACCATGTCATCAGATCCGCTTGAAGAGCTTGCCTTCTCCGCTACTACCGGGCGATTTTGCAGTTGATTCTCGGCGTCCAGGGAAAGTGCCTTTTCTGGCTTGGGAGAGCCCTTGTTGCGACGGAACACTAAGATTTCGCCGCGTGTTTTAGGTGGCTTCGCAAGCTCTGCAGCAAGCACGTAGGCGGGAAAGAAAAAGGCCAAAAATGCGCAGAGAATGCCAATATTTCTGTGTTATATATTTCTGTTAGCGCGGGGCCCATCGCACGGGGAATGACATATACTGACCTCCATTTGTGCACATTCCAGTAGTCAAAAGACCTGTTGATATAGTTATCTCCATTGACAAAGGCCGAACCGGCCTCCGACCCAACGACAGAGCAGATGTGCGACTCAGACGGAAGATTTGTGTACCCCTGACCGCTTGGCACCATGCCAACACAGGGAAACTCCCGATGGTGGAATTCATTTGCCATCAAAGCCTCAAAGCCGTATGCCAGGGGATTGATGTACGCCATCCAACGCGACCATCCAGGCATATACTCTGGTGGAGTGGTGAAACCAGTGTATATCATCAGTCCAAGGCTGAGAACGGCGCTAGGGATCATAGCCTGATCAGATGTCCGGGTTATGCAGGCCAGTGTGCGGAAAACGGCTGACTGAACCAGAGTGGTGAGGAGGGTGGTGAGGCAGAAAAAGAAGAAAGCACCGGCCTCTCGCCTCAGATTTGCCATAAAGTAGATAAGAATGTTAAAAACAAACATATTCACAATCTTGTAGGGTAGATCAGTCAAGTAGCTTGCAATTGCCTGAGCTGACTGGTGATAGAAAGCATAGCGATTCTGCTTCTCAACAACAGGGCGTTCGGCATAGATTGTCAGGACCTATTTTCAAGTTATCAATACATACAATCGGGTCGGACTTCAAAAAAAAAAGAGGATTAGGGAGAGGAACTTACCTCCAACTGGCTCGCAAAGGCATTGAAGAGGAGCGAGAAGAAGATGAGTCCTCCGCGATAGTAAAAGCTGGATGTATCCGGCTTGAGATTGTAAAACATGCTTCCTAAGATGAGCGCCATAATGACATTAAACAAAAGGGAAGCAATGGTGAACCCAGGGTCAGCCAGCAATCTCCGGTAAGCGCGCCAAAGGGTTAGAGAGATTTGTTGAGTGTATGATATCGTGTAAGCAGATTTGGAGCGCTGCTGCTTAGCCTGCTCAGCTCGCCTGGAATGGTAGTATTCAGTCGCTCGCTCTTCTGAAGGATGTCTTTGCTCATAGGATGCAAACTCAGAGAGTAATTTCTTTCGCTGTTCACTTGATTGCCATCTTTCTGCAAACTCATCTGCCGAGCGAGGCACGGAATCTTCGAAGCCGGCTCTCACCCTCCGCTCTTCCGGGCTCGTCATGGATGTCAAAAAATCGGGAATAGTTTGCCTAGGGGGGCTTCGAAATTCGTCAGAAACCTCGAGTTATGTTGTCAGCTCACGAAACCTCGAAAACTCACAGTAAAATCCCAGGCTCTCAAAGTAGCCCTTGGCTTCAGTGGTTTGACCGAAGAATATCTGCCTTCCCTCATAGATCAGAGTAACTCGATCAAAGAGCTAGATGTAAAATATATTAGTTAGCCAGCGAGCGTTGTTTTGAACATCTATTTTCAAGAAGACTAACGTCATAAGCTGACTGTGGTGCTTGATATAAGGTAACCACAGACGTTACATCAAGTAGATCTGCCTGGAGGCGCAGGTTGCTGCAAAAATTTATAGCATTGGCGCTGTCAAGGCCACGTGTAGAGTTGTCCCAGCACTGAAATTTGGCTCCAGTCAGGGAAGCCTCGGCGATGCTGACTCGCTTGCGCTCTCCGCCACTCACACCACGCACGAAGTCATCTCCGACATGTGTGTTGATGGTATGATTCAGGCCAAAAATGGCCATCATGACATCTCGGCGTACCGTGTTGAGCTGATCGCGGTCAAAGCCTCCCGGGACGTGTCGGACTGAGCGAGCACGAGAGGCAAACGTTAAAGTTTCTCCAACAGTTAGATGCGCCAGGTGAACGTCGAGCTCAGCATTATACAGAACATCCCCGCGGAGGGAAGAGCGGATATCGGCCACATCCAATCCTGAGTACGTTAACAAAAAGTCATAGACGTTGAATGCGCTATCAGAAACAAACCTCGAAAGTTGATATACGATTCTGGCGTAATATTCAAATCCGCCGTTTCCCCCGATAGCGTCTTGAGAAGTGTAGAACAGCCAGAGCCAGGGGGACCCAGCACTAGCACCATTTCTCCCTTTTCTGCAACGCCTTCGAAGTTGCGTAGAATGTCCACTCGTCTGCCATGTGGATTTCCACGAAGCCATCTTGCTAGGTATGTTGCGAGTCCAATTACTACATTCCCTGTGGTCTTTTGGTACTCTGCGGCCGTGGTATATGCAAATACACCCAATTCTTTGAAGGCAACGCCAAGGGAGCGCGAAGGTGCCGACTGAGGATCTGATTCGGTCAATCTGATAAATTCCTTTACCCAAACCCGTGCGTCAAATGTTGGGGACGAGGGATCAAGCTTGCTGCCCGGCGTTGGATTGAGTACTTGTGACTGCAACTCCCCAGAACCAGAAGATATGGAAAATCGCTCTGCGACTTTTGCAACCCTATCGTGTAGCTCGTTCACTTGACCGTCCGTGGAAATATATTCGGCCGAAGATGACCCGGTTCGGATGCTTGTATTGGCGAGGTCGCGGTCAGCCATGGTGGCTGATTTCAGAGGCACGCGAGCAGTTAGTGAAGAAATTTGAAGAGGCACAGAGATGTAGATTGATCTAGGAGCTGAAAAATATCTGAGCGTACGGACAGAGGAACTACGACTAAATGACTTAGGAGCAAACAACAAGGTCACATGATATCTAAGGAACTTTCAAACATGTTGAGAGGTCTTTCTTTGTCTTTGAATTGCACCGTCCTTCGGTGCTCGGGGCTTGGCTCTGACCGGATGAATACAACATATAGGTACAATTCCACAATTCGGTGCTCGGGGCTTGGCATCGATGCCAAGGAATCAGGGGCGGAAAGGAGTGTAACAAAAGCGGTCCGCCCCCGAAGTGTATCTTTGGAAAATCTCCGAGTGCCCAGTCTTACGTTGGATTGCCTTCAACCTTGGAATCTCTTGGTATGCATGTCTCACACGGATATCTCCAGAGCTGTAATAAATCTCAAATGTGAATATATCTAATACAAATCGTACTTGGCTCTCATTAAGTCTTGGGATACGTATCCAATTGGAGACAAATGAATATGGAAAGCTATAGTTGTTCGTATATTTGGCTTGCCTATAATGGGCTAATAGAGAAGAATTTGACAGATAGAGTCTATGGGAACTACATCTGGGCCATCTTAGCGCCCAGGTACTAAGCTGCATATGCCCAACGTAACATGCTCCACAAGCTAGGTAGATGTGATATGACATACATTTGGTGGCCTCCAAACTAGGCACTTAATGTAAAACATTTTCCTCAAGTGGGTACATTCGTATTTGGAAGGATTTGTGATCTGGCGCTTTGGTACCCAGTGCATGTCTTCGTACCCATAGGACATGGTATGGCGGCCTTTAGACCGTCGGGCATAACACTCCGAGAACGTAACTCTACACGCCGGGTTGATAAAAAGTAGAGTCTCCAGGGTTCTCGCTCTTACCTAAAACATATACTTTGCTCCTTTCATCTCTATTGACGCGTCATTGACATTGAGAAAACTTTGCCAAAATGTCTGCACTTCCAATATCTTCTTCCTTTGTCGCGGAATGGGCGAAGGCCCAACAGACCCGTGGGCAGAAACCAAAGAACTCTTCGGTGTTCTATCGGAACCTTGAGGAGGAACTTGATATCAGCAGAGCCCAGCATAGCTGTGCAATGCTGCATAATCAGGACACTCCCATTGACTTCTCATCCTGCGACGTTCTCGGGATTGGGCAATCCGGGGCCTTGAGAGCTGCCTTTTTAGAAGAGCTTGATCGCAACCCCTCGTTTCAACTGGGTGCCCACGGAACCAGATTACTGAATGGAAACTCGAAATACCTCGAAACCGTTGAGAATGAGGTCGCAGAGCTGCACGGGGCTGAAACAGCCCTCATCGTGAACTCATCAGCCATTGCCAACGATGCCATCTTTTCTGCTATTCCACTTCCGGGTGACGCCATCGTGTATGATGAGCTCATTCATGCTAGTGCCCTCGATGGGTTCAAGCATAGTGTGGCTCTTTGCCAGAAGTCGTTCCGTCACAACGATGTTGGCTCCTTTGTGGAAATTCTGACGGATGTGAAGAATTCACAGCCTCAAATCCGTAATGGCACTCGATGCGTCATCATTGCGGTCGAATCCTTCTACAGCATGGATGGGGATGTTTGCCCACTGCAAGAGTTGATTGAAGCCGCCAAGGAAACTTTCCCCGATGGCAATGCTCAATTTGTCATGGACGAGGCCCATAGCAGCGGCCATATTGGCCCAAATGGTGCAGGCCTGGTCAGTGAATTGGGACTCGAGAAAGAGGTTGCGGTCCGCAATCACACTCTCGGAAAGACTCTCTGTGGTACCGGTGGTAAGGCCTATTCTGCTACTTCAAGACACTACATCCAAGCTAATTTGAGTTATAGGAGTTATTCTATGCAATTCTACCATTCGAAAGATCTTAATCAACCGCGCGCGACCTATCATGTTCTCTATAGCGCCATCATTCCCACTGTGTGCCGCAACACGAGTGGGCTACAAGATGCTAAGGTCTGGAGAGACCATGGAGGTGAGTCCATTCTCTGACTCTTCCATTTTACTTATCAGAGAGAATGTTTTTAACAAATGGCATTCTCTTCAGGCACAAAGTAGAGTTCAACACGTGGTAAAGCTATTCTTGACAACTATCACCTCTCACCCTGTTTGGGATCGTGCGAACGATGCCGGTATTCTGCGTATTCCTCTTTATGAGGAAGATGACTGGGATTCCCTACCATTCGTAACTCAGATCTGCCCCATATGGACTCGTCCCAAGCACAATTTCTATCTTGCCATTCATCTTCAGTTGGCAGGGTACTCAGTGTATCCAATCAGCTTCCCTGTGGTGCCAAAGGGATCTGATAGAATTCGCATCATATTCCACGCACAGAACACGGATTCTGAAATCCAGGGACTCGCCCAGTGTACCTGTGAATGGGCCGAGGAGATGCTTCAGATTCAGAGAGATGGAGGCGGAATCAAACTTCCAGCTGCCGCCCGCCATGCTTACAGCCTGATGACCAAAGAGAGTTTGAATGGCTCCAACTAGGCATCGTATATAGCGGCGGGGGCTGACTCGGAGGCGTCGGGTACCCACAATTGTCCATAGAGAACACGGATATGTACTATTGCAGTAGCGATAACGTGATTCAATTGCAACAGTAACATTGTACTAGTATCTGCAGGTCGTATAATTGAGTAGATCGGAGTATTTGGGGGCTCGTAAAGCAGGCCTTGGCCCGTAGATTACGCATAACGAGGCCTTCCATCAGCATTGGCATCTCACTGAAAGCGAGCCAAGTCATAATCATGGAATGGCTAGGCCCTGTCAAAAAGGGGGCAATGCATGATCGAACGATGTCACTTTGCCAAGCTCAAATGGCCCCCAGTATACTACGCGGAATCTTTTTGAGGGAAATTAGTATACCTTCAGACGCTACCTATGCAATCTTCGTCTTACTTGCGTCAGTAGCCTCTTTTCTCCATGAACAGAGTATGTTCTGGTTTCTATTTCGAACTTGGCCATGTCAAGCCACGGGTATTTGGTGGACTGCAAGATACGAATGTAGCCTAAGATCTCACTCTGACTGTTGAAGCCGTGGAGAATTAGCAACGCCCAAATCTCCACATATGGGGGCGATATTGGGCGCTCAGGTATAAAAGGCTGAAGAAGAACTTGGTTGAGACGATCATCAGACAAAAGAAAAACAGAAATTCATCACTCATTTCCCTCATATTACCATCGGAACGATGAGCTCTTTAGACCATGACCTACCAACACAGGCCAATGGAGCGTTGAATGGTTTGGCAGAGGCCAGCATTCACTCCAATGGGACTTCCCAGACCAAAGAGGTGCCCCTAACACCCGAAAGCTGGTCAGATCTCGAAGTCAATGGATCGTCACCCGATTCCCCCATCGCGATATGTGGTATGGCCCTTCGCCTTCCTGGTGGATTAGCAAGTCCACAGGAATTTTGGGACTTTCTTGTAGCCAAAGGCGACGCAAGAGGCCGCGTTCCAAAGTCCCGGTACAACATCTCTGCATACCACTCTACCTCTGGACGTCCAGGAACCATTGCAACCGAATACGGATATTTTCTTGATGAGAGTGTCAAGCTCGGTAGTCTGGATGCTTCTCGCTTCTCGCTGAGTCGCGCTGAGCTTGAATTTGCCGACCCACAGCAACGTTTGATGCTGGAAGTCGTCCGGGAAGCCCTTGATGAGGCCGGTGAAATGGACTTCAAGGTAGGCAATTACCTTTTAACTGACCATGAAAACCTTGCTGACATTGGCGGATACAGGGTAGCGTGACGGGATGCTACATGGGAAGCTATGGTGAGGACTGGCTTGAAATGCAAAACAGAGACCACCAACAGACTGGAGTCAACCGAGTTGATGGCTACAGCGACTTCATGCTTTCTAGCCGCATATCCTATGAGATGGATCTCAAGGGACCAACGTACATACCTTGTCTTTCCAATTTTACAGACTGGGATATTGACTTGAGAATAGTATGACCGTCCGCACTGCTTGCTCTGCGGCACTTATTTGCTTGCACGAGGCCGTCTCCGCCATTCAAAGGGGTGACTGCCAAGCGGCAGTTGTGGGGGGTGCAAATTTGATCATGGCTCCTGGGATGACAGCGTTCATGACTGAGAAGGGTGTTTTATCGCCGGATGGCTCCTGCAAGACCTTCTCTGCTGACGCTAATGGCTATGCCAGAGGTGAAGCTGTTACTGCTGTGTATATTAAACCACTTGCTGCTGCTATTCGAGATGGCAACCCGGTCCGTGCGGTCATCAGGTCCACTGCTTCGAATGGCGATGGCAGAACACCGGGCATTGCGCAACCCAGCACCGAGAGTCAAGAAGCTCTGATAAGAAAGGCTTATGAGAAAGCCGGAATCACCGTAAGTTGACCCAGGTTCAGCTGTTGCGAGGTTCAAGGAATGATGGAAATGAGGCTGACTTCTTTAAAGGACTTTTCTAAGACTGCGTTCGTGGAGTGCCATGGCACTGGCACGGCAGTCGGTGATCCTATTGAAACGAATGCTGTTGCGCGTGTATTTGGAGACTCTGGTGTTCATATTGGATCTGTCAAGCCAAACCTTGGACATTCCGAAGGTGCTTCAGGACTCACGGCCCTCATCAAGGGTGTTCTAACCCTGGAAAACCAAAAGATTCCACCGAACATCAAATTTTCAAGCCCAAACCCAAAGATCCCCTTCCAAGAGAGGAAACTTGTTGTTCCATTGGAGCCAACTTCATGGCCCGAGTCTTGCCATGAACGAGTCAGTGTCAATTCTTTCGGCATTGGAGGATCAAATGCGCATGTCATTCTCGATTCGGCGCGCAGCTTCAATCTTTCCGAAGATACGCCTGAGACAACCCATCAATATGAGCCCAGCAAGTCACACTTGCTCCTGTTATCTGCCAATTCCGCATCCTCGTTAGAAGTCATGACCAACAGCTTCCGGGACTGGGTTGGTCAGAACCCGGAAAGCATTGAAGACCTTGCATACACCCTTGCGCATCGGAGAGAACGCTTGTCCCACCGATCCTATTTAGTCGCCAGTGGTGATCGGCCATCCGGGGCTCTTAGCCAGGGTCGGAAGGTACCCACCACGTCTCCAAATTTGGTTATGTTGTTTACCGGGCAGGGTGCGCAATGGCCCCGAATGGGTCGCCAACTTCTGCTCCGCTCCGACTTTTGTTTCCAAAGCAGCATTCGGGCCCTTGACGGATACCTCCGAGATGCTCCGGACGCTCCAAGCTGGACTTTGGAAGAAGAACTTCTGAAACCAGCAAGAACTTCCAAAGTCCAAACGGCAGAGCTGTCGCAACCACTTTGCACAGCTGTCCAGATAGCCTTGGTTGATCTCCTTGCAGCTGTTGGTGTGAATCCCTCCGCAGTCGTCGGTCACAGCAGCGGTGAGATTGCGGCAGCTTATGCTTCTGGAGCCCTTACGGCCAAGGAAGCCATCATATCTGCATGGCAGAGAGGAATTGCCGCCAAGAAGCAGACGAGGCCTGGAGCGATGGCTGCCGTTGGGCTGAGTTGGGATCAGGTGAGCAGTTTCCTGACGCCACCAAAGGTCGTGGTTGCATGTGAGAATTCACCCAGGAGCGTTACCCTGTCGGGAGATGCTGAAGAGGTGCAATCCACCATCTCTCGTATCAAGGAAGCGCACCCTGACGTGACAGCCAAACTGCTCAAGGTCGAAAAGGCGTACCATTCATATCACATGCGAGAGGTTGGGGGAGAATACGCCGAAGCCTTGCTCCGTGATGTCCAGGGCAATCCACCCTCCGTTCCATTCTTCTCTTCCGTCACTGGCTCGGGAAAGCCTGAGGAGGTTGCCTTGGACGCAAAGTACTGGCAGAGAAACCTCGAGTCACCCGTTCTTTTCAAGTCAGCAATTACCGGAGTCCTAGACCAGGTCGACAATGTCACCTTTTTGGAGGTTGGACCACATCCAGCACTTGCAGGTCCCGTCAGGCAAATTATGACACAAGCATCGAGCTCAGCACCATACGTCGGAGTCATGGAGCGTGGCTCGGACTGCGTTGAGAATTTCTTGACCGCGCTCGGAAAGTTGTTTGAGCTGAACGTCCCAATCGACTTCACCAAACTCATTCCCACAGGAACCTGTCTTCCTAACCTCCCACGGTACCCCTGGGACCACAAATCCAACTACTGGCGCGAATCCAGAATTTCTCATGAATGGAGAGATCGTGAGTTCCCGGCGCATCCCCTCCTCGGTGTCCGTCAGCTTGAGAGTACGAGCCTTGAGCCCAGTTTCCGAAACATGCTGCTCATTGAAAATGCGAGCTGGCTCCGAGACCACAAGATTGAGGACAATGTCATTTTCCCCTGTGCTGGCTATATTTCAATGATCGGTGAAGGCATTCGACAGATTAGTGGATCGCAAGATTCCTTTACATTGCGAAATGTCGTACTCAGTTCGGCTCTCGTGTTGTCGGAGGATGCACCCGCTGAGCTAGTCACTACGTTCCGTCCAGTTCGCCTCACCGATTCGATGGACAGCCAGTGGTGGGATTTCACAATTGCGTCTTTCAACGGAAACATTTGGATGAAGCATTGCACAGGGCAGGTTGCATCTGAGAAGATACAGCCCGTGCATAAGCCAGAGGAGGGCCTGCTCCCGCGAAAGGTGCAGCGACGGAAGTACTATGATGTTCTCTCTCGGGCCGGTATCAGTTACGGACCCCACTTCCAACGCCTTGAGGACATTCGGACGGGTACAGTCGATAATCGCGCAACTGCTCGCTTGTCAGACGATGTCTGCGGAGATGAAGAGCATTATCATATCCATCCAGCCGTGATTGATGCCTGCATTCAATCCGGCCCCCTTGCAGGCACTAAGGGACGTGTCGAGGCGAAACACTACCGGCGAGTGCCAACGAAAATCGAGAGGGTGACTGTTCATCGCTGCGATCCCGCTGCGGATATCAAGGTCTCGGCGTCGGCTGTATTCATCAAAGGCAGTGGTGATGTTGTCAGCCGCGTACAATGCATATCGAATGGCGGTATTGTGTTGGACATGGAAGGTGCCAAACTCTCGCCTTTGGAAGAAGCTGAGGAGCTAGGAACAGCCAAGCCCATGACATCGGCACGTCTCACGTGGGGACCACACATCGACTTCCTGGACGTCACCCGTCTCATAAAGCCTGAGATTCCCAGGCGTCTATACACCCCAACTCTCGACGAGCTTGCCCGCCTGTGTCTGGTATATTCGGAACGACTGATTGAGGGAGCTCAAACCAGTCTCCCTCATATGACCAAGTACATGAATTGGATGGCACGGGAGGTCCGCGGCTACGGAGACGACTCATCACTTCTTGCCATGGATGGCGCCTCCATTAAAAGGAAAATTTCGAGCTTGGTTCAAAAGATGGCAGGTACACCTGTGGAGGACTGTGCTACTGCCGTTCAGAAAGTGGTCAACAACATGGAAGGCCTGTTGTCTGGGGAGACAGATCCTCTCGAATTATTGTTGGCCGACAATACTCTGACGAAGCTATATATTGCGACGGACGCCGTGGACCGATCTCAACTCATCCGTCACCTCGCCCACAGCAAGCCTAATCTTCGCATTCTCGAGGTCGGCGCAGGCACAGGGGCATCCACAGCAAGCATGTTGAAACATTTGGTTCTGCCTACTGGGCAGCCCCTGTACTCCAAGTACGCGTTCACCGACATTTCTTCCGCATTCTTCGTCTCTGCAAAGGATCATTTCGAGGACTATCGCAATATTGAGTATCGCGTTCTGGACATCAGCCAGAGTCCAGCCGAGCAAGGATTCGAAGATGATAAATTTGACCTCGTTATTGCCACCAACGTCCTTCACGCCACAAAGAGTCTAAATGAGACTCTGAGAAACGTGCGCCAACTGCTCTCTCCTGGCGGCAGACTTCTTCTCCATGAGCTTGACTCTGCCTCCAAATGGCCTAACTTCATTTTCGGCACTCTACCAGGTTGGTGGTATGGTGGACCAGACGGTCGCCCAGATCAACCCTATGTGACCCCAGCTCGATGGGAGTCAGAGCTCAGAGATGCCGGTTTTAATGGCCTGGATGCAGTCGTACATGATGCTGAAGAAGGATATCAGCTGAATGCTATCATAGTCGCAAGCCCACAAACCGAGAGAAAGCCTGTCAACAAGACAATCTCCATTCTAAGTGATGAGGTCTGCCCCCATCTGACCCCCTTGTCCAGAGTTCTGGAGGCCCGAGGCTTCATGGTCCAGCCATATCAACTTGGTCAGGAACTACCGGCAGGGCAAGACATCATTTCGCTCCTTGATTCCACACAGCCCTTCTTCAAAGATATTGATGAATCTCGCTTCATATCCTTCCAACGGGTATTGGACAACCTTGAACAGTCCGCGCTGTTTTGGGTGACACAGCCATGTCAAATTCAGTGTCGTGACCCCAACTATGCCCAGGTTATTGGCACCGCTCGTACCATCCGTACTGAGATGCTGTTGGACTTTGCCACGTGCGAAGTGGATCACCTTGGCTCTTCCTTGGAGAAGGTGGTCGATGTCTTTTCAAAGTTCCAAACAAGAGTGGAGGATGAGACTTTCAAGCCTGAATACGAGTACTCCATTTGCAATGGCACCGTCAACGTCGGCAGAATCTATCCCTTCTCTTTGACTGATGAACTTTCGTCAACTGCCATTTCAGAAGAACGCATCGGCCTCGACATGGGTAAGCCAGGACGTCTTAATACTCTGAGATGGACTCCGCGTGAGAAAAAGATCCTCCTGAGTGACGACGTAGAGGTGCAACTCCACGCGGCGGGGCTAAACTTCAAGGTAAGCCCCTTCTACCGTTCACCTTGAACAAATAGCTAATATGTTATGGTCAGGATGTCTTGGGCTCATTGGCAGTAGTCCCCTATCCGGAGGATGGTCTCGGGATCGAGTCCAGTGGTGTTGTCTGCCGTGTTGGTCCCGATGTCACGGACCTTCGCATTGGCGATCGGGTCATGCTCTTAGGCGATGGCTCCTTTGGGTCACACGTGGTTACCCCCGAGAGGCTTTGCGCAAAGATTCCCGCCAGCCTCAGCTTCGAAGATGCTGCGAGTATGCCGGCAGTCTTTGCCACTGCAGTTTGCTCGCTGTTTCATATTGGCAAGTTGCAAAAGGGACAAGTAAGCCGCCTCCACTTAATCAAACTCTCACCTTGAACCGATACTAACAATCTTTAGTCCGTGCTTATACACAGTGCCTGTGGCGGTGTTGGTCTAGCTGCTATCCAACTTGCTCTCATGGTAGGCGCTAATATTTACGCAACCGTCGGAAGCGAGGAGAAGATCAACCACCTTGTCGAAACCTTTGGACTTCCAAAGAACCAAATTTTCCACTCCAGGGACACCAGCTTTGTGGAAGGGATCATGCGTGAAACAGACGGACAAGGCGTGGATGTCGCCTTGAACTCTCTATCTGGAGAGCTTTTACATGCCACTTGGCGTTGTGTAGCAGAGTTTGGTACCCTGGTCGAGATCGGAAAGCGTGACTTCCTCGGTGCCGGCAAGCTCGATATGGATGTTTTCCTCGGCAGCCGGACATATTCCTGCTTCTACCTTGATGCACTCATGGCAAGAAAACAGTCAAAGGTCAAGGAGCTTCTCAGGGAAGTTTTATGGTACTTTCAGAGTGGCCAGATCACTCCCGTCAGGCCTAAGAAAGCTTTCAATGCCTCGGAGATTGAAGAGGCATTCCGCTATATGCAACAAGGCCAGCATCTGGGCAAGGTTATTATCTCAATCAGGAACACTGATGGTAATCTAAAACTTGATACTGCATCCGTCAAGGCACCGAAGGAACTGAACCTGGACAGTGAGGCATCTTATCTCCTCGTTGGTGGCCTTGGTGGCCTTGGGCGAGCAGTGGCAAGGCACTTGGCTGAGCGAAACGCACGCCGTGTTGTATTCCTCTCCAGAAGCGCTGGAAATGGCCCTGATGATCCCGACACCATCAAAGAGCTCGAAAGCATGGGATGTGAGATACGTCTCGTCAAAGGAAGTGTTTTGCAGCAAGAGGATGTGACCCGGGCTTTGGAGCAAGCTCCAAATCTGAAGGGCATTATCCAATGTTCTATGGTTCTTCGTGACGAGAACTTCGGGCGGATGAGCATAGACGAGTGGAGAACTGCAGTGGCTCCTAAGGTCCAAGGGACATGGAATCTCCACCATGCTACTCTCGCCGCTGGGATCGAACTTGACTTCTTTATTTTGTTCTCTTCCATGTCTGGAGTCACTGGACAAGCCGGTCAGGCAAACTACGCCGGAGCGAACACTTTCCTGGATTCCTTTGTGCAGTACAGAACAAGCCTTGGTCTCGCGGCATCTTCCCTGGATATTGGAGCAGTGCAAGATGTTGGTTATGTTTCGCAAGACGATGCTCTTCTGAAGAGGATGAAGCTCGCAAGTGCACATGGAATCACGGAGCCTGAACTCATGGAAGCTGTCAGCGCAGCTGCTCTGTTCCTTAAAACTTCTCCGGCTAGCTGCGATACCCTCGCTGAGCATTTTGTGGACAAGAACACCATTGCACTGGGTCTATCGACAGCAATTCCCTTAAGCAGCTCCGAAAGCCGTGCGTTTTGGAGAAAGGACGTGCGAATGGCCGCCTACCACAACTCTTCCAAGATCAGTGCGGGAACCTCTGGCTCGAACAGTGATAATCTCAAGTCGTTCATGGCGCGAGCCAAGGAAGATGCGAGCATTCTCAGCAGCGAGGAGTCGACAATATTCCTTGCTCAAGAAATAGGCAAGAAGCTGTTTATGTTCCTTCTGAAGTCGCCGGAGGACCTGGATACGTCTGTGTCACTTGCCCAGCTGGGAATGGATTCTTTGGTCGGCGTCGAGATGCGCAGTTGGTGGAGGCAGGCATTTGGGTTCGATATCAGCGTCCTTGAATTGCTGGGAATGGGAAACCTGGACGGACTGGGTAGGCATGCGGCGGAAGGAGTTCTGAAGACACTGAGTGAAGAACATGCATAGACTATTGCAATGTGGTCGTCTATACTAACGAAATACTAAGATCTTTTTTGTTGGTTTTGTTGAGACCAACCATGTTGGCGCCTAGAAGTCAGACATTCATTCCCCATTTAGTTAACTAGTTAGTTACTACGGGGTAGGTTGTAGTTGTATTACAGAAATAAGTGGATACAAGGCCAAGTAAGTCTGAGCAACAGCCTAAAAAAATCCCATGCGCAATGATTCCGGCTTTGATAATACTACTAACTATATGTACTGTGTAACTACATAGGTAGTCAGCATTCCTCAGTTCGGCCTGACCAAGATTCCCGAGGTCGGCTCCAGCCCGAACAAATCGTTCAGAAGCAGGTTTACGACAAATCGAAGGCTGTCCGTATGCCCAGGATCCCGATGTCCTCAAACCGTGCACAATTAAACTTCCACATTGTCGATCATTGACTATTAATTCCTAGTTGATCTTCATTATCAGCATGGTCAGGGATGTTGCTGTGAGTTGGTATTTACCCTGTCATTACCGGGCTGGTGTACTGTGGGCCGGATCCGACTCTCTCTCTCTACTTGGACTGGCAAGTTTTGGCGGGCTTCTCTTCAAAATATCGCATTGAATAATAATTATTATCACCACTCTGTTTACTGGACATATAAAGCGATTGACTGCATAATTAGGTAGCATCGTGTAAATACTCGTGGACAGAGTTGCAGTTTGATGTGTAATATGCATGGATGTCCGAATTGGGCATCCCGTACTCTCGGGAACCCCGTGATTCGGCCTGTGCCGAACTGCAGATTTTCCAGAGTCGTGTACTCTGTACTCTGTAAGAACAGTAAGGATTCTGAAATCCATCTCAGAGACTGTAGGATTAAAGACCACCTACCTATTTGGATATGTGTGCCCAAGTGGACTTGTCGATGATGTCATCACTTCGGCTATATCCTGAGCAGGTTTTCGGGACCCCTGATGCCGGTTCGGCGTGCGGCTTATACGGAAGGTTTTTATGCCCCTTGCCATCCATCCCTGCCAAGTGTGCTTGGCGAGTTAACGGTGAAGAAAATATAAATACAAATCATGTACTTTGTAATGAGCGCGTGGAAAGCAGCAATTGTGCGCAGTGGTCTGAGGCCCAAAGTCGTGTCCACAGCATGTTGTACATATGTAGTCTTTTCAGCGAAGATCAGCGGGAAAAAAAATGGGGAGTCTGGGGGAACTGGAGAATCTCCAGGTTTCCGTCAAATGCAACTCCAATTCAATTTCAAAATGACAAAAGTACCATGAACCACGCGAGATCCTGTGAACCGTGCAGCTGTCATACACTCCATATCATCGACGGAAACAGACTTGGAAAGTACCCGGTGAGTCCATGAGTCTCCAAGGGTGCTTTCGATTTGATGCCATCACGAATATTACCGTACTGAGACAGTGCATACTGTCACCAATACCGGACGGAGACCGACTTGGCCATGCGAGACCCCTCGCATGGCCTGCGCGCACCTCCTGACGCCGATTCGCCCGGTGGATCCCGTGGAAACCTGGAGGAATATCGATGATCATCCACTTGTCTCGGACGTGAAGATGGGGCACAGTGGCTCGTTCCCCTAATCTGGCCACGGTATAGGCATCACCAATGCAACGTTACTACTGCTTCTCATTGGTGGCTTGTCTCTTGATGATTCTAGATTCCGATTTGCGCTCCAAAACTTGATGTTGGAGGTGGATACGCTCCTTGATTGATTCTGGGGTTCATAATCCTAGACTTCCCCGGACCTGGCTGTTACATTGCTGGATCTTCTTTTCTCTGCTTAGCTGCAGTCTGTCTATTTCAAATCCATTTCCTGGCCCCGGCGAATAGTCGAACTCCCTTTGTTTTTAGGGCTTGACTATATACAGTCTGTCTTACTTCTGCAACCTACAACCTATACACCATATCCGCCATCATGAAACCATACTTCGGCCTTCGGGGCACGAACCTGAATATTATGATCGGTGTCATTGCTGGTCTTGATTTCTTGTATGTTGGTCTTTCAATTGTCTACTTTAGAAGTACGCAGCACTAACGTGGAATTACACAGGCTATTCGGATATGACCAGTATGTCATCGAAAGCTATACATGAGCAGTCTAGTGTGTTTCTTTTGCTAACATTCAACAGGGGTGTTATGGGAGGTCTATTGACATTAAACTCATTTGTTACGGTCTTCCCGGAAATCGACACCACTAAATCGAGTTCAGGGACGAGTAGCAACGCCACTACACAGGGTATGCAACTCTATGGCAACCTTCTATTCATTCATTTACTAATTTGTCAGGAATCACTATCGCTTCTTATAACCTGGGCTGCTTCTTCGGCGCAATCTTCTGTATCTGGATTGGAAACTACCTTGGTCGCCGTAAGACAATTTTCGCCGGCTCCATCATCATGGTGATCGGGGCTACGCTACAGGCCAGTGCTTACTCCCTGCCGCATCTCATTGTCGGCCGTGTTGTTACTGGTATCGGAAACGGCATGAACACCTCTACCGTCCCTACATGGCAGTCTGGTAAGTATTTGACTCTATCGGAGAAGAGGCACGATGCTGATATTACTTAGAATGTTCCAAGTCCCACCACCGCGGAAAACTTGTCATGCTAGAGGGTTCCTTGATTGCTGCTGGAATTACGATCAGTTACTGGCTTGATTTTGGATTCTCCTTCCTTGACCCTAGCTCCGTTGCGTGGCGTTTCCCAATTGCCTTCCAAAACGTCTTCGCACTAGTCATCTTAATCTTCGTGATGCCGCTCCCCGAATCACCTCGCTGGCTGATCCTCAAGGGCCGCGAGCAGGAAGCATTGCAAGTTCTCTCTGCGATTCTAGACTTAGATGAGAAAGATCCTTATGTCCACTCCGAATTTTCCGCTATCAAGGATGCAGTCCTGGCTGCCTCGAGTGTCAGCTTCCGTGACTTGCTCACCATGGATGAGAACCGCCACTTCCACCGTGTTGTACTCGCCTACGTCAACCAGATGTTCCAGCAGATCTCTGGTATCAACCTGATCACCTACTACGCTGCTACTATTTATGAGAACTCTCTTGGTATGGATGGCCTGACATCACGTATTCTAGCTGCCTGCAACGGCACTGAATATTTCTTGGCGTCTTTGATCCCCATCTTCATTATTGAGAAGGTGGGCCGACGAGTTCTGATGTTGATCGGCGCCGCTGGTATGTCGATTTCAATGGCCGTTTTGGCCATCACGACTAGCTTTGAGCACGAGAGCAAGCCTGGTATTGCTGCTGCCGTGTTCTTGTTTGTCTTCAACACATTCTTTGCCCTTGGCTGGCTGGGAATGACCTGGCTGTATCCCGCTGAGATTGTAAGGCTTTCATATCTTTTACTCCTTTGCATCAAAGCACCACTAACAATGCTATAGGTGCCTCTACGAATCCGTGCTCCCGCCAATGCACTCGCAACTTCGGGTAACTGGATCTTCAACTTCATGGTTGTCATGGTCACGCCTGTTGCATTCGACACAATCAAGTACAAGACATATATTATTTTTGCTGTCATGTGAGTATATTCTGTGCGAAATGGATTTGGTGAACACTAACTCAGTTCCAAATAGCAATGCATTCATCTTCCCCGTTGTCTACTTCTTCTACCCTGAAACTGCCTATCGATCCCTGGAAGAGATGGACACGATCTTCCACAAGACATCCAGCGTCTTCAATGTCGTCTCGGTCGCCCGCAACGAGCCCCATCGCTACGGTAAGAAGGGCGAGCTTCTCATCAACTACGAGGACACCGAGGAGCACCTGCGCCGCGCTAGCTATATTTCAGAGAAGAAGATCAAGCTGGGCAGTGGGACGGACGTGGAGACTGGAAAGGGTACCCATGTTGAGCACCGCAAGGATAGCTCGTCTAACAGTAGTGAAGGCCTTTGAGAAGGCAGATTCTTATTTTATTCAACTAGACATTTTCACGATATTAATCAACGAGTCAGTATCTATCTCAGATACTGTGTGTTTATTTCATGAATTGTGGCATATATTCATTAAGTATTGCATATTATAGAAACATCATGTATATCAAAGGTATCAACGACATAATTCAGTCACAAATAACCCCATTCAAGCTCAAATCACCCCAACCACAACCTGCCCTAGCTGCTCACAGCCCAAAGGCCAATCCACCAATTGCAGCAACCAAGACAGCAGCCAGGATGCCAGTCCCACTAATGCTCACACTATCCGCGGAACTCGCTCCAATGTTTGGGCCAGCTGAAACCAAATTTGTTGAATCAGATCCAGTAGCAGACGGAGCAGCGGCACCGGTCGACAATGTGACAGGGTCTGTGGAGCTCTTAAGAGAAGTCGCCGAGTAAGGAGCCGAGAACGAGTAACTAGACGACTTGCTCATGAACGAAGACGTCGCCTCGGCGCGGTTTGTCGCATAAGCAGACCATATAGTGCGGGTACTCGTGGTTGTAGAAGTAACCGTCTGAACGGTGTAGGGGTAATAAGAAGTCCAGTAGTAGTACCAGTAAGTCCTATAAAGAATCAGCAAACCATCCACCAAACCAACCCAATCAGACCCACGCACCAGTAGATAGTAGTATAATAATACTCAAAATCAACCTTAACATAAGTCGTAGTTGCCGTCTCCGTCGCCGTGGACGTAACATCCGCTGTAAGCGTCGCCCCAGACCCAATCCCATTATACTCCCCAACACAACCAGTGTACGGACAACAAACCTTTTCCCCATCATAGACACGACACTGCTTCCCGGCGGGACAGTAGTAACCCCCGGAACAGCACTCCCCGCCTAGCGGTGCGCACCCCGTGTTCCCTTCACAGCACTTGTACCCAATCGGACACGTCCCGCCGCCGGTGCAGCACGTCTGGCCTATCGTCGCGCAGTACCCGTTCCCGCAGCACTTCCCGCCGAGCGGACAGCAGCGGCTCGTGTCGTATGCGCATTGGCTGTACCCGATGCCGCATTCTAGGGCGCGGGCATTTAGACTTGGGTTTTCGTTGAAGACGGAGAATACATCGTCTTTGTTGATTAGGGAGATGTTGGAGAAGAGTTGGGGCTCGTTTTGGTTGGTGGTTGTGCTGGTTGCTATGTTGGCGAGGAGAAGGGATAGGGCTAGGCCTGTAAAGGAGAACGAGGGGATTGAGGAGAGCATTTTGGAGAAGGTATGGAGGTATAGAGCGTTAGCTTGTGGGTTTGAATGGTACCCTGCCCGTGCTCTCGTTTTCTTTGGAAAATGTCCTGGGATATGGGGCGGAACTGCGATTTTAAGTCCCTCTTCCCCTGGACACTTGCTACATAAATGCGGCTGAATAGAAGGTAAATATCCCCCAAGCGAGGCTGTTTAAGGTTGTTGTTCGTATTCGCGGGAATTCGGGGGGCATTTTACCTGTGGCGGATGGGTTGTTGCTCGTGAATACGAGGTTGGTGCCGCTTGGCGCGGACTCGAGCCGCTTTTTTGAGATCGATTTACGGGTTGCTCGCTGTTTAGGACCAAGAAGAGGAGACTTGGAACTGCACTAGATATTTAGGCTTTGTCCTAGGCTGCTTTCTCGTTGATAATGTAGGCGTGAAGGGTCTGGAGGAGTTCTTGGCTTTAGGGCTTAGCGATCCTCGTGATAGCTTTCTACTCCATTTGGTTAGACTCGGACAATCTCCTGGCCTGCCTTTGTCGAGATAGGAATCAGTCCTTCCCATCGCACTGGACTAGCAAATTAGATTAATTTGTTCAGTTCCGGGAACCCCACGCTCTCGTGGTAGACTTCGGGCTCTATTATTGGAGAGGGTCGACGTTGTGAAGAGAAGCACATGTTTCCCCGAGAAGAAGCAGGTGTCTTTCCTTTTATATCCTTTGATGTACAAAGTACTTAAAACTCCATAAGAATGGTTTCCTCTTGATTCTAGTCAGTGCACACTTATCACCTGTCACATATGGGACCATTAAAGACTTCTTTGGTGTTCCTACGTGTGCCTACTACGCTTCATGGGCTGCCGAGAGCTCGTGATTAATCTCCAGGGGTTGAGACTAAAATCCATGACAGTGCGGAGGGTATTGATTATGATCAAGATGAAATGGGCGGTTCTTAGGATGATTTGAAAGGCTTTATGTCTAAGCCGACAAACTCCAACTTCTCGCCATGGGTAAAGCTTGAACCATTCGATACTGAGGACCCTATAGTAAACATTTTCGAAGACCCGGACATTCCAGCCGACATCTAAGAATTTGTATCTCTCTTCAGACCAAAGTCTTGGGAGGGGGATCCTACAATTCCTAGGGAGGGGCATACGTTAGATCAAAGCTCGACCATCCTAACAGATGTTTCTGTCGCCCCTGAAAGTCCTATCGCACCCAACAAGTCTTCCATCTTGGAACGGTCTGTTCCATTTGCGAATTCTCGTGAAACTGATCCGGATGACTATGCAAAACCTAAGCAGTTTGAGAACAACGAGGACCAATAATCCTGGATGACAACAAAAGCCTGGATATTAACCCGAACAAACTGCCTCAAAGCACAGGGGCGTCAGAATCTGAAAGGCAAGCACTAGGCGAGGCCGAAATTCACCCCAAAGTAAGACAAACATGGCTACTATAACTAGAGCACATATTTTCGTCTATCTGAACGTGTTTAGACACTCATTGTCACCCTTTTTTGTTTTTTCTGTAATGCTTATTACCTTCGACATTGAATACATAGCAACATAGGCATGAAACATAGAAATACAAGCGGCATTAAAGTACACGATGAAGCTCTGTGGTAAAGCAATTTGTACAATTTGCACTTAAGCCACCCCTAGCGTTCAAACTTCCCAATCTCCCATACTTGGTCGTGCACCAAACCATTTTTGTACTTTCCGGCGGGTTAACTGCGGTTTCGATCTTGGGTTTGGTTTGTATTCGACATCACAGTTGTTTTTTTCTTGACTTCTGAGTAGGTAGACCGAACCCCAAGAAAGCCATGGTAGGAAGATTCCGGACCATCTCGCGCATCTCAAGAAGAGTTGATACCTTTAGGCCTAACCTTCTTTCCCAGATCTTCCTTGGTGGGTGGATCCTGCTCGTCTTTGTCGTTCTTGTTCTTTCCCTGCGTGATGACATGTTCCTTGGCGGTCTCCCTTCGCTTCCGGGCTGCGGCTCTCTTAGCCGCAGAGTCTTCCTTCTCGGTTTCAGAGCCTGAATCATCCGATTCCGGTGGATTGCACTTGCTAAGCCGCATTTGCATGACAAGGTCCTCAAAACGCGATTCAGTCTGGTTGATCTCCTTTGGCATTTGATGCGTGGCCCGGTGATCGATATTCTCCTTGGGGACAGTGGCATCGTCATCGTTATCTGTCCTGTTTGTCTCCTTGGTCATTTGAGTAGTGTACGGACGCTTGAAGTCTTCCTTGGGGGTAGCATCAACACTAGTCTTGCCCTTGGGAGTCATCTCGGTACTGCCTCCGTCCGGGGAATTTGGTGGAACCCTCAAATACTTGGAATACTTTTTGCTGGCAGTGGTGATTCCACTTCCACTGACTTGACTGGGATCCCAGTTAGAACTTTTGGCACGGCCCCAGCCGTCTTGTTTCTTGGGGGTTCGCGCGGCGAATCTTGCCCCCGCAGGCTTATGGTGCTCAATGTCTTCTTTTGACTTGTCGGCACGCCGGATCGGGAGCTCTTCGCGTGAGCTGCCATCAGGTGTGCTGTCATTAGGGCGGATGGATAAAAGGCTGAAATGCCTGTCAATTCCGTATTCGGTCATGGTTCTTTTGAGTGTTTCGATTCTTTCGCGCCAGTTGCCGCGCTCACCGCGGATGGAGCAAACGACGCACTTCTTGGCTTGGGGATTGGTCACGGTTCCCACGATGTTTGAAGATATTGCGAGTGCAGAAATAACTTGGGGGCTTAGTTGAGATTCGCAGATGACTGAATGGGCACCGTATGGGTGCTCAATACAGAAATATGAGTGGTGTCGGGCACCAAAGTCTGGGTAGTTGCTGGGAGCGAGACCCCTGGCCTGGTGAGAAATGTCTCGGGACAAGCTCGGAAATATGATTGATGGATGAGTAACGAGGAATAATACGATCTTGGATCTTGAGATCAAAGAGGCGAAGATTGTTTAATGAAAACAGATGGACACACTGAGGTGACTATGGATGGACGTGTCAATGTAATGAACGCGAAGATTCCAGGTAAACAAGATGAGATGTTGGCAAACAGCCAGACCTCTGAGTCTCGAAACTTCTAAGTCACGCGTTCGCAGAAGACAACAGATCAGCTTTCGCGTAGAGGATAAAAGGTGACAGTAGGTGAAAAGGTGAAGCGAAGGAAACAAAACAAACGGATATTGCTAGGATCCAATTTGGCAGCTGTCCATCTGGCGAGTTATAGGTAAATAAAAAACATATATGCCTTCCTTTATTATTTTTGCCTTTCGCCTTTTGCTTTGGAATACCACTCTTAACCTTGGGCATCAAGTTCTGTAGACATACACACTCTTCTGGTATAGCATATTGTTAGTTATCATTGTAGACAAGACCTGGCTCTATGTCTTGTGCATATTGGCATTTTGGTAGACAATTGCCTTCTATTTCAGATTCAAAACTATTCTCAATAAGCTTCTGAAGCTTTCATCTTTTGGCCTGTACCCGAGCCCTAACATCACCCGATTGGGATATTTGATAGATCACGTGATATTCCCGAGACCGGCGATCGAGATGATGATGCTAATGAGAATACATAAAGAGATACTAACTTGAATTCTAAGAATGGCAAGAATTGCAAGAATAGTTCTGAGTCATTGCTTGGCATGATGTTTTGACTATTGGATAAGGTGCAATGGTATGTCTACAGCATTCTAACAGCTGACTGCACACAGCTCACAGCTCACAGCTCTTCAAGGGACCAGCTGCAAAGCAGAAATATACAAATAAAAATAGTACAACATATAGAACGGACCGAGATCCATAGGAGTTAAGGATATCCTCGGGGAAAAAAAGATTTAAGGTTATCCTCGGTGAAGAGCTCGTTGGGGAAAAAAGACCGGATTTTCGCTCAACCTCAACCTCCAATCTTAATCTCAACCTCAACGGGGCTTTAGATCTTCCTCTCGGGTGTTTGAGCTTATGAGTCACGCGATTCCGTGTATAAAACTATAAGCCTTCCTTATATATCGGGGACGTCAGGTCAGCTTTTTTTCTCCGCCAAGATCCACACCCCTCTCTTTATCAGATCCGAAAACGGAATCTTCCTTCTTTTCCCGGAAATTCAAGTCAAGGTACGTTTACTTCTCTGACCTCGGTAAAGGATTTACCGTGTCCGAGAGAAACTGGAATATACAAAATGAATTCCACTGACTAATAATCCACAGCACTCCATCTGGTTGATATCCCGGGCTGTTCTTCAATTAGCACTTTGGCACAGTCAGTTGACTGTCTGCCCGCAAAGAGGCCCAATTAAAAATTTATACACATATAATAATAATAAAGCGACAAGATGTCCACCGAACATCAACATGCCTCTGTCAGTGTTGACAAGCAGCTTGCCGTTGAGGCTATCTCCGAGCAGCCAGAAACGCCTCACAGCAAGACGTCCTCGGATGACATGGAGTCCGAGGACCACAGCGTGGCCAACATCGAACGAATCTACAGGTAAGTCGCACCTCCGAGAAATAATTCAACATCAGAATCTAACAACCAACAGAAAACTGGACCGTCGCATCATCTCCGCGTTCTGGGTCCTCTACTTCCTCTGTTCAGCCATCCGGTCGAACGTAGGCCTAGCACAGACAATGAACACAGACTCCGGCCACGACCTCGCAAGCGTGCTCCACCTAACCCGGCATGAGATCTCAACCGGTCTCGCCCTCTTCTACGTCTGCTACGTGATCTTCGACCTCCCCTCAAACCTAATCATGACACGCCTAAGCCCCCACGTCTGGATGAGCCGCATCGTGATCAGCGTAGGCCTAATCGGAAGCTGTCTCGCCGCAATGAAGGCAGCCTGGAGCTTCTAGTACGTTCAACTCCTCCTCGAACCCTTATTCTATCTCATACCCCATATCCCATATCTTGTATCTAACAAAACCCCAGCCTCCTCCGCCTCCTCCTCGGTATCGTCACAGCAGGCATGTGGCCCGGCATGACATACTACCTAACTCTATTCTACCCGCCCTCACGCATCGGCAAACGCATCGGGCAATACTTCACAGCCTCGCAAGTCTCCGCCGCCGTAGTCGGGCTCGTCTCCGCCGGCTTCCAAAAAATGGACGGCGCACACGGCCTAGTCGGTTTCCAGTGGATGTTCCTCGTCTACGGCGTCATCACCGTCGCCCTGGGCTTCGGCCTGCTATGGTGGTTACCAGACAGACCCACACCGCCCGGCGAGCCCGCCCCAAAACGCTCCTGGATGATGCGGTGGGTGCCTACCACCACGCCTGCCCTGAAGGGCGCTGATGCCGTCGTGCATTACCATGATCTGAAGCGTGTTTATCACTCGTCCGCGTGGACGATGCGGGATCTGCTCGCGGTGTTTTTGGACTGGAGACTGTACCCGTTGCTGGTTATGTACTTCGGTGTTGTGGGTGTTGGTATTGGCGTGCAGTTGTACGCGAACGTGATTATCAAGGCTATCGACCCGACTCTGAGTGATATTTCTTTGAGTTTGTTGACGGCTCCGATTTGGATTGTATGTTTTTCTTTCTTTTCTTTCCATCTTTCCCCTGTTTTTGGGGGTCTCTTTCCATCCAAGATCCATCCGCTAACACATCCCCACCATACAGATGGATCTAATCGCCATCCTCCTCGTAACCCCCCTCTCAGACCGCTTCCACCGCCATCGCGCAATCTTCTTCTCAATTCCCGTCCTCCTCCAAATCCTCGGCCTCCTCTTGACAAGCTACGCGGGCACAGACGCAAACCCGTGGCCTCGGTACGGCGGACTGCTAATCGTTGGATTCGGACTCGGCCCAACAGTCCCGATAACGATGACCTGGACGACGGAGATCTTCCAGCCACGACACGGCGAGGTCGGCGTAGCTGCTGCGTCGGCTGTTGTCTCCGGACTCGGTAATCTGGGCAGTATCCTCACGACTTATGCGCTGTATTCCGGCTGGAAGAGTGACTACGAGGCGCCTGGCCGCGAGAAGTACAGAAAGAGTAACCTCGTCATGGTTGGTATTCTGGCGGCGAGTATTCTCTCTGCGGCACTGATGGAGACTATGTTGCGCTTTGTTGACGGGAGGTATCGTGGTGATGGGGCTGAGGGGGCGGTTGATGGGGCTGCGAGGCGGGAGGTGCGTCAGCGTGGTTTGCAAGGGTTGGGGGCTGGTGTTAGGCGTTGGTTGAAGCTGGGGAGGTGATTGCTAGGTAGACTTGTTTGTGGGTGTGGCCGTGGTGCAACGGCAAAAGTGTTGTTATATTTCTCTAATTTTACTGCTTGTGTTGCTGTGTGGGACTTCTATAGACCGATAGAAAGGAACTACTATATAGAAGAGAATGAATACGATCTAATTTTGGACATAGATGGCTTTTGGAGAATACCCTGCTTTATAAAGCAAAACTAGTCAACTGAATGAACTGAAGTAGTCTAGATCCATGCATGCCTCTTGGAGGTTGATCGTGTTCCGCTATTTAAGACTGTCTGTCATACACTCCATGCTCTCGAAAAGGGAAGAAAACTTCTATTGGATACTGGAATGTGATACTAGATTGAGTTCAAGATCCTTCCATGTGGCACAGACGATTGGCGAGATACCCCGATCGAGGTAAGGCCAATGAGACTACAGTAGAAAAAGTACGAGAGCTCAATGTTAAGCAATGTTGGTGTTGGCTCAAATTACTCCGGGCAAGAAGAAGAGGGTCAGTGTAAAACTTGAACTTGGTATTAATTGTCGATTCTCCAGAGGAACGATATCAGTATGATATCTCTCGATAAACGATGGTGTGATTTTCCCATCCATGAATATTCTATGCTATTGTACGTGTCACATTACCCTGTGAAGGGTAGTCGAGAGAAAAAGAAAGAAAAAAATAAGTGCGGCTGGTGCAACGAGGGAGGGCCAGCAGGAACGCAATAGGCGGACACTGGAACCGGGAGAAAGAAAAGGATAGAACACGAGAAGAAAGACAGGAAGAGGAAGAGAGAAAAGGCAGATCACAGATAACATCTATGGGGGCTCCCTCACGCAGTCAGGCCGCTCTGGTCCGACTCCCAGGTTGACGCCGAGGGTATCGGAGCGCTAAGACCAAATGATTCCTTCTATCCATTTAAAGGCCACCACACATAGTCTCAACGATGATACCAGTGATCTGGTAGGGGTCAGCGTTCGACGCGGGGCGACGATCCTCAAAGTAACCCTTGCCGTCCTTGGCGCACTGGCGGGGGATACGGATGGAGCCACCACGGTCGGCAACACCGTAAGAGAACTTGTCGATGTTACCGGTCTCGTGGCGACCGGTGAGACGCTCCTCGTTGCCCTCACCATAGACGGCGATGTGCTCAACGTGACGGGCCTCGAACTTCTTCATGGCGGCCTCAATAACCTTCATACCACCATCGGCACGAGTGGCGTTGGTGGAGACGTTGGAGTGAAGACCGGCACCGTTCCACTCACCCTTGATGGGCTTGGGCTCAAATGAGATACGGACGCCGAACTCTTCAGCGACACGGTGGAGAAGGAAACGGGACATCCAGAGGTGATCACCCACTGAAAAACAGTTAGTCTCAAGATATTCCACTGTCAGGGATTTGCAAAACTTACTA